TTTCCGTCACAATATATCAAATAGTAAAGCTGGATTCTGCAAAGCTGGGCTAATCCCATTTAATCCGGAAATTGTATTTTCAAAGTTAGATATTCGAATAAGAACTCTATCAAATAGATCAATATCAATCGATCCTGATATATAATAATCTCAAATACCTCATAATCCAATTGAAGCTCTTTCTCAATCCACTTTAGTGAAAAGTTATATTGCTCGATATCAAGGGAGCTCATCTACTCCAATATTTAAAATAGTTGCAACTTTACTTAAGGATACAGAGCTTTTAGCTTATGCGAATACGCTTTTAGCTGCTGAGATTCATAATCTTCATAAAGCAAATAAAGCATTTAGTAAATGTTGAAGAGCTAGAAAAGCTTTAATACAAAAAGGAGAAGCACTTTCAGTAGAAGATGAGTATGATGTATTAGAACAAAAGAATGTAACGAATTTACAAATAGTGATTCTTCAGCAAGGAGGCAAGCTACTATACAACAATGTAGCAAATGTGGTAGTGCTTCACATAATGCATGAACTTGTCAGTTCGATCTAGCATTAATTGATCTTTGAATTGTATGTAATTTAATTCTCATTTATAGTATTGTTGTAATTTTATTTCAATGAAATGTGGGCAATTGAGGTAAAAGTGTACAGGGTCCTGATAAACCACGTTAAATATCCTTTTATTATATGATTGAATTTTTTTAAAATATCTTATTTATTCTTCGAAATATATGATTCTTAGTATTTAAAAGTGTATTCTTATATGCTAATCTTTCTATACTTTTAATTAAAGTTTGTCTAATCTCAAATATAAATGTAGAAGAGCTTTTATTAGAGTTTGTTAAAAGGAATAGAAGTTACCGGTACTAATCACGTGTCGTGATTAGTAATACGGTTACCTAAACAGGCTAGATTAGACGAACCATAAGCAGGCATATTGGTCCCCTCAGAGGATACAAAGAGGAGATCAATATGCCTACACACGTAGTAATATAGTCAATATAGAGGCCTCTTCCACCCAATCCTTCAATAGAGTTGATGGTAAGAAAGTTTCAATTGGATTATGTGTGACGGAAAAGTCGTAAACGGAGTCAATTCAATTACTTAGAATCTAAAACTAAAGAACTAAGAAGATTCTAAGTAAGAAGGTCTTTATATAAAGGGCTAGTGCACGTGAGCCACTAGTGGGTAACAACCGTCACGTAACATTATGAAAGATTTGAGAGATTCAGGAATTAGTAAGTTTCAAGAAGATAAATAAAGAGATATAAATATAAATCTTAATATTTAATTTTGAAAGTATAGATTGAGGATTAAATAATATTAGATTTGCTTTTTGAAAATCACTTTTTATATTCTGAATAATAAATGATTATAAATTGTTAAAGTGAATGGTTCCTGCGTAGCACGTGCACAGGGCACTAGTCCTGTTAGGGCTAGATTGAGAAGCTTTCTTACAGAGAGCTTCGCACTTCCGTAGAACTTAGAAGAGAGATTAACCTACTAGACCAATATTACCTCAGTTCTGCCCTATCAGCTTCCCACTATTCCCTGTGCAAGGTCATTGCTTTTAACATGATAGAAATTAAAAAAATTTAAATGAATTTAAAAATTATTAAAAAATAATTAATCCTTGTCATATTAAATTGCTAGACTTTCTCCTAGATCTCCCTATTTCAAGCCGGACCGGCATATGATTTTTCGGTGACACTTTTGATCTTAATGGATAGTCTTCTTGAAGTAGATAGTCTAAGGTTATTTGTTCTACAAAGCTAGAAGCTGTGCTCACATCGGATATGTACAAACATTCCCATGGCAGTTATCCTCCTTTATTTATTCTTCTCCCTGCAAGTATCTCTGTAAGTAAGAAAGGCCAAGAGTTATAGTTGGCTTCTTGACTTTGAATACGATTGATAATTGAAGCTACTTACTGGGAATACGAAGTAATTTCCATAGCCGTTGAAGATCAAGGGATGCCGCATGATAATCCCTCATGAGAATACTCCCTGAAGCATCAATTCTTAGTACGCAAAGATCGCAAAAGAATACGAGATGAGAGGGGTAACGACTCGCTTACATTCCATGATTTGGCTGCCACCGCAAGAGTTAGTTACTGGAGGTTGGCACTAGGAATGCATCAGATCTTCAACACAACAACTTCAAAATTCGTAAATCATGGCTCATGATGAATGTGATTTGATCTTCTTCGCCATCTCTTGACTCATATCGGAATTATGTCACCGGCGTTGAGTTACAATCGTAAGTAATTTCCGTCAAAATTCAGCACTTTGAACCATTGTTAGACTTGTAACTCTTATAATCGTGAATTGAGTTATTATTGTGTAGTAATATATCCTTGCAGATTCTTCGCCTGAGTTCAATGTTGAATCGGGATTTATGTGGATTAGTCAAAATCATGGAGCCTGGGATGCCAAAACATAGTCATTGTAATCTCAGAAAAAGCGAGGAAAGAATGTGCAATTTCATGAGTTGAGAGCCAAAAATGTACAAGTCTCAGAGTAAGAGAGAAAGAATGTGTTAATTTGCGAGCTGATATCAAAGGGTTGATGATGATGGGAAATTTGACCAAGGCTTTTCCCTATATATACAGCAACCTTCTAGTCTTGCTTTCTATCACAACCATCAATCACACAAGTCTCAACATCAGAAACTTAAAGAAAACTCAAAATGCAATTCTACATCCCAGCTATTGTTGCTCTTCTCGCCGGCAGTGCCGCTGCGCAAACTCCTCTTACGACATGCCCCTTCAATGGAGGACGTATTCCGTTCGGCCAGTACGTCTGTACAGGCAGGGCAATTGTAAGTTTTATATGACACCACGATTTTTCTCCCGGAAATCACACAAAATACTAATGGAAACAAGTCACAATGCGCAGTAACCGGGCAGCTTGTAACAATTGGTGCATGCCCCAACTCTTGCCAATACATCCAAGGAATTCCTTACTGCTTTTAAGGTACAAGCTTATGCTTTTCCTACTATTGTATTATCTTTGCTAATTGTTTTGCAGGCTCCAATCGGTTGGGCCTGATCGTGGCTTGGAAGTGACAAACCGTTCACTGGAACAGCGGGGATGGGGTTGATTCTTTATTTCTTTCTTTCTTGACTTGGGGTACATTTCGTTCTGTATGACACGAGCAGAATGGCACTACCAATGAATGGGTTACTTTGATGGATTTGCATTGATTGATTTTGAGAAGATCTTTAAGGAGGGTTAAATTTTTATCACTGCTATTCGAATGCTCTCCATCTACGATTTGTGATTTATGACTGAGGCTCAATTAGTGGCAATTCCTACATGGTCCTGCGTAAAATTTTCATACTCTGCGACAACACAGTGTGATCAAAATTTTGAACAAATTTAATGCAGCGAGCTATGTTCTAAATGTGATATCGTGATTCAATATTCAAGGAATCAAGCCCTGAAGACTATTAGAAATGCTAGACATCTATACATATCCTTACACTGACGCATTTTTCAGGAAGCTATCGAGAGTGATAGGTTTTAGATGCACGCAACTCTTCTCTACATCTTTCCCTTTGTTTATTATCTTTCAGTTGCATAAATCAACATCATCATAAAAGACTTCATAAACTGTTCATTCAATCCTTCTTTATATCGACTACACAGATATATCCTTGGTAGCTTGGAATGGAAATTTGAAAAATCCACCAAGATACGCTGTTTGCCAAACTAATAATGTGCTCAATGAAGCCTCGAAGGTAGTTGTCTGGATTTATTCATGGCTAGAATCTCTGCAAAGAGAGCAAACATTGTGGAAAATGAGGGTGAAATTCAGTGCTACTTGTACAGATACGATAAAGTGAATGATTGACTTTCCATAATCCCCTCTGTCATTCTGCGCCACTATGAAACAACTGATGCAACAATGTTGAGACAGAACGATCCGTCATGCAAAAGTTTCCTTGATATCCAACACTAATACCTTGAGGTGGGCACAAAACATCTCACAAACATTGAGAATAGTAGGAATTTGCATACTTGCAAGTTCCGGATGCACAACAACTAGAGCCCGTAAATCCAGTGCCTCCACATTGACTGTATAAAGCACCGCACTAAGTCACATCAAGCATCAGCTGAGTTTTTATAAACTAGGTCAAAGAGAAGAGAAGATAAAACTTACGGTGCCACCAGGTGATGATGTAGGTGAAGAAGCAGGAGCTGAGGTAGTGGGTACAGTGCTACCACCTCCATTTGAACTTCCAACCGTTATATCGGATGACCCACTAGAATAGTATCCTTCGGTTGCGACTATCATGTAATTAAAAGTACCCATATCCATTCCAAGAGCTTTCCATGCGTTGAAATGATTTCCAGTTGTTACTGTACCACCAGTTCGTTTGGATTGTCGAACAGACCAATATTGATAAAAGGTGGCAGTGCCGACGATGGATGGTTCATTCACGCGTTGTGTTTGATAAATGTTATCTGGAGTAGGGCATGTCAGTTATTGTGCAGGAAAGAAGTCGCCCAGATGCACCAGCACGTCACGAGCATAAGAGCTGAATGTGCTTATTTCGAAAGAATACCATAAAAGCTCCGTGAATGTAGATCTTACTTACATGTGGCTCCATCACTAACGACAGTACCCTTCAAAGTAGCTCCAGTGCTTGGATTATATGTACCGAAATTCTCGACAATATAATATTCGATCAGAGGTGACGTGGTCCAGCCATAGAGAGACAGATAACTGTTGCCATTTGGACTGTATGTGCCACTATAGGTAACCGCCCTACGGATGAATTAAAACAATGGTCAGCATGGATGATACTTATGATTGTAATTGAGAATGCGATTAAAATCTTGAACCAACATGGCACTTCCAGGATTCCAACCCTTCCCCCCAACAAAGTTTCCACTTCCCGACCATTGGACATTATACTCGCCACCGGCACCGTTTGTATAAGTCACAGCTGCACCACCGTCGGTCCAAAAAGAGTAGTAGTATCCACCTGATCATTAAGGTTAACACAAAGTATAGTCCCTACACATAATAGAGATACGAACCACTGGTTCCAGTAGAGCTAGGTGTCCCACTCCGATCGACAAGTTCAAAAGTCGAGTTGGCTGGGTATGCCAAGACTCCCGCAAAAGCAGTAAGGGTAATCAGAAGACTTTTGTATGATACCATGATGACTATGAAAATGATGGTGATTGTGGGCTTCAGATGGATGATGTTGAACTACAGATTTGCAGCGGAACAGTCTTGCTTTATACATGGCAAAAGCCGGGGGACCGTGGCGATATATCAACCCAGTCTATACTGAAATATCACTCAATGAATGAACTGAGGTAATACTTAGCCCGTCCATATACCCGAGCGTAATTGAGTATGGTTGATATTGCATGTTCCCCGCAGGTAAAATCACACATGGTAACCTTTTCGAAGCTTGACAGTCACAAGATATGAGGATTCTGGGGTACAGCACCAATCATGCACCCCGCAATGTAGTGGAACGATCGAGTCCTTACTTATTGAGGCAGATAGACGCTATATCATAAGACTAGTATAAGCTAGGTGGAGATGAAGGCAATATCATGGCTCTTTGGATAAATTCGGCGGGTAAATGCGACTCTCTCGTTGCCCGCAAATCCGACTATTATTATGCACATTGAGTAAAGTAAACAATTTTTCCTATATTATGGCCCAATTGAGTGAGACTGGCCATCACAAGAAAGCCTATCAAAATCCCGAAGGGATCAATAAGATGGAGTAATTCTAAAAAGTGGAATTGGCGGGCCAGATGCAAGAGCGCGACGACAGCAACAAGACTTACAAATTAATTATCTATACCCAACATATTTTCTCCATGAGTAAGACATCATTTGCGTTTACGGATACTTATTATTTTTTTAACAAGGTTGGAGTGGAGCATTCATCACGGCTGGGCGCCCCTCTCCATTGAGCCTAACTTTGTTGAATAGATTCATGATTGAGACAAATACATTGAGCCTGTTGTTGCTAATGAGCCGCACTATTACAAGTGTATTTCCATTCCACCGGAGCCACGGTGACATTGCCCAGAAAATGCATTGGGAATCCTGAATAGACAAACCTAGAATAGCCAAATGAAGCCAAAATTGAACCCAAAGGGAACTTTCCCAGACCACTATATAAAAATATCCTCGAAAAGGTCATCAGATACCCAGCAGAACACGGCAGTTCCACTAAGCTGGACATAAAACTCCGGCTTGTCAAAAGAGCACTTCCTCTCCAGGCAAAAATCGAAACAGATTAAAGGGGAGTTTCCATAGATGTTCCAAAGCATTTTCTGATTCGGCACAAAGCCTACAAATAGAAGGATTTCCGCGTCTAAGATTCATTAGCAGGGGAAGATTCATCTAACCCAATGGGCAAAGTCAGAATGATTTGTCGTGTACTCAAACTTCTCACTATCCGCTCAACTCGTCTTGCTTTTCATGGCCTTAAAATGCCTGCGGTGCTGCTTTTCATTATACACTTGTAACCTTTCGATGGGGGACCACTTTCTATTGTTAAGAACAAAGTAACGATGTAGCTAGATATAAAAAATAGTGGGAGGAGGTAAACATTACATTGCGGCACTGGTATTCTCAGCACAGCTTTTTGAGACAAGCCGGCTCAGAAAGTGCCACAAATACCCCAAGACATGAGAGAAATTTATTCCGTTCACCAGCATTCAACATGCTAAAAAGCCACGTGGGAATTGAAACGCTTGTTTGGAAATTGGTTTGGAAACTGGCGCCATGCCCGATACAATGCAAAAGGGTATACCATCAATCAGTTAGAGCTCAATCTGCATCTGAATCTGTTGAGACTAATTGATCTTCCAGCCCATAGCTCCATATATCATTTAGGTGCAAGAAACGTATCGTCCCTTCCGGACATTGCACTCAGTCATTGAATTCTTGAAGCAGTTACTTCATCCAGATTTGGCATACAACTTACCATAGCAGGTGAGTGAGGTATGCCGCCCATTTCCCACAGAGTCACTCGCACCGGGAAGACACAATACTCCAGTATATATCGAGAACGTGAAGGGCCATGCTTGATTCTTTAGGTATCTCTTCCGTGTAACTCCTCAATGCATCTTTTTTCCAGCCATAAACCAACAACATCAAACCATCATAACAATCACTTCTGCCAATCCAATAACTGTGCCTCGTTTTGCAATTTCCTTCTATAACGACCGTTCAAAACGCCATACCAGCCATGTTTGTAAAAATCAGCATCACTATACAATAATCTCTTCTTCGCTCGTTTCGGTTGTACTGTCGTCACTAGTTTCCATTACTTCGTTATCTCGACCAACAAGTTCTGCCCTCCCCAGTCTACCATTCTCTACTTCACATATGCCGTCGAGCCCATTCGTCGATTTCGCGGATGTTGATTCGGCCTCAAGAAGAGCACTTCGTTCCCTGCGTACTCGGTCCCTCTCTATCCTCACAGCTCTTGCATCTTTCATCGATATTCTATTACCACTGACTCGACCAAATACCCACATCTGTATTAGCACCATGACAGCAGTATATCTCCAACATAGCGCATCATCCTCATGCATATCAAATGCCCACTGCGATCCTGGTAATGGTCCGAGACTTTCAAAAATCGGATGTGGAGATGTTGAAATTGTTGGAGGAGGTGGTAAGAGGTGTGACATGAAGGTATTCATCAGATGTAAGATGAAGGCGGGGTTGAGTAATATGCCGGGCAGGAGATAGGTCGTCGAAAGAAACGTCATCCTGAATTTGGAAATTGAGAAAGAGGCTTTGGAGAAGTTAGCACATCATCCATGTATCCCAGCAAAAGAAAAAGATTGTAAATACAATTTGCGGCAAACTGTATCGCACGTTTTGAATTCCGCGCACCCAAGTAACAATTCTTGGCTTCAACCCGTTCAAATTGGAAATAACTTTGTTTTCCAGTATCAGGCTTCAATAGCGGGTCAACAAATAAAGATTTTCGTGTTGTGCAGAGGCTGAGTATATTCACTCGTGTTGTGTGAGGATGTGAGAGAATGTGACAGGTCTTTCGATGTTTGCGATCTGTGTTACTGGAAAGTTTGTCCTACGTCGTCTGCCCCTCAATCACAAGATAAGAAGGGAAAATGACGATCTGTGATTAGGCGACAACAAAGGTGGTAGGTGGTATTCCTATTTCCTCTGATAAAATCAAAAAGAGAAAAAGATATAAGGCTGTAAGAATGGTTCTGCAATTAATACAAAATCTAGGGAAGAAAAGTGGTAGAGGGAGCGGGGATAAAGTGCTGTGCAGTTGTACAGAAGGGGACGATAAGGGAATAGGGCTAAAGATCTCTCTTTCTCGTGAAATCGGGGAAAGCGCATACGTACACAGTTTTGGAGGTTTAAACTCTCATCTAATGTAGAGTTTATAGAGAGAGAAAGGGGAGAGAGATGTGTAGAAAAAAGGTAGAGATGTAGGTATGTAGATGTAAATGTATGTAGGCGTATGTACTGCGTAGATAGATGTATGTAGATATCAACTTGTGAAGCAAGTGTAATAATTCAAGGTAGAAATATATAAACAATGGATTTCCATTTTTCTCAATTCGTTAAAAAATAGATTAAATACACAATATACCAAGTCTCTCCTTCCTGTTGTACTCTAATTGTCTTGTCGTTCGCAACTAATATAGATAGATGATGAGTGATAGGTGAGATGAAGTAAAAAATCCGTCAAATGTGGGATTTGATGCATACAATTGACGACCTGAACCAATGAATTTGATTAGAAATAAGAAATTGAAAATGCAAACAAGGACCTTGAAAATGACATGCGGATGGTGGGGGACCGAGGTATGCGAGCAAAGAGTATAAGAAATATGAGGTTATTCGTATGAGGCATACATACATTCATATCCATTCTTTCATGTCAATACGGATTTATACAGCTGGCGATAACCCTAATATGGATGTTATACAGCACAAAGTATGCATTCAATAGGTAGGAAAAGATGATGCTGACTCGAATGAATAAATTCAGCAAACCAGCAAACCAGGGACTTTCATCTAAATGAATGGATGAATGAATGGATGAGGGGTATTATTGGAGCCAGTAATAAACCTACACTACCTACCTACCCAGGTAATATCTACAACATGCTCGCAAACTTCTCGTTGACATCTTTTTCCATGTGATAATTACCTAGTATCGTACGGAGTATCCACCTACTAAACATCTCATACACACTCGCTCCTGGATTAAATTTGTCAGCTCGTCAATCTTTCATTCAACGTTCAGCCTTGTCTTAAGCCTCATATCACTAGCCACATTTTAATTGTGCTACAACCCCTTACTGGAGGAAGAGTAGCCACGTTTAGCTTCAAACAAGGCTACATAGTCTAGGAAATCAACAAAATACTACCCACCTACCCACCCACCTGCCTACCTCATTGTTCAATGTAATTCGGAAAAGAGCTTCTTGCGATCAACTAGCCTACAACTATTTTCCTCTTCGTAAATACCAGACTTCACCATGGTTCGTACTTCTCAGATCTATACTTTTAGAAACTCAACCTAACCTTGATAGAACACTCTTTTCAATACCGCACTCAAACAATCGACATCCCTTCGGCGAGATCTCTCCTCTCTTTCTCCACCTGAATCGCAACCTCTCACCCCATCTCTCCTTGGTCAAATATCCTCGTCTCTTACCTCCTTCTCCCGAACCCTTGATTCTTACGCTGCCCTTCAATCTGCCGAATTAAATCCTTCCAAGAAAGAGAAAGCCTATGAACGACTGACAACATTCCGTTCCGAACTGCAAGATTATCGTTCTCAGTTTGCAATTCTAAAGGCGCAAAATGAACACAATCAAACTCAGATAGACAGGGGCGAACTACTTGGGAGAAGACCACATCATACCTCGACACCCGAAAATCCTTATGCAAATACAACAAGTGCGATCGCGGCTCGGGATAGTCCATGGAGAAGAGAAGGCGGGCCGGTTGGAAGTGGTAGTCAGCTTTCTATGAGTAGTGGGGATTATACGAGGGAAACACATGCTCTGAGAGAACAATCTTTCTTTCAGAATACCCATAGTGCGTTGGACGAATACCTAGCTCGTGGGCAAGCAGTTTTAGGTGATTTAGGACAACAGCGGGAAATGTTGAAAGGGACGCAAAAGAGACTGTATAGCGTGGCCAATACCTTGGGTGTGTCGGGCGACACCATCCGAATGATTGAGAGGCGTGCGAAGCAGGATAAGTGGATATTTGGAATCGGAGTAGTGATATTTTTTGCTTTCTGTTGGGCTGTCTTACATTTCCTGAGATGAGGCAATCAATGCGGCAGTGTCATGGTTATTACGGGAAGAAATACTCTGACCTTGTGATATGAGCTTGGGGATTTGTATGAACATTAGGCAATTGTGATTTTATGGGAGTATGAGCGTGGAGTCTGGAGTATGAGGGTCAAAAAAAGGGGCGGTTGTTCGTAGAACAACGAGTGTTAGGGATCCGAATTTGATTGGGGCAAAATAGGCATTCATCAATACATCTTCATTCTAAGCATATCCAGCTTCTTTCAAAAGTGCATCGGCTTCCTCGAACCCTACTTCCAAAGCCACGCATCTGATAGCTCAATCTTCGTTCATCAAATATACCTTGGACATCTCATTCCCTTCCCCTAGAACATGCAAAAGTCGGTCTGCTACTCATTTGGCACTTACTTTTCTCCGCCGCGTTTTCTCCGTCAAAGTTACATGGCTATCTCGGGAACACGAAGAGTACCGTCAACGGATTTTTCAGTAGCATTGATGGTAACAAACTTCATCGTCCCTGACCCAGCTCCAAACATGCAGTTGGCTCTCTTGCACCTCGGTTTTACATGGTCGCTAGAATCTCTAGGTATGGTTCCATAATGACACTTGCCTAAGATCTAATGCATCCTCGCTTAACCGAGGGAGACGATTGTCCGTGTCATAGAAAAGCAAGCGATGAGAGAGTGCTATACCTTGGCATTGTTTTAAAGATTTTGATCGAGCAATTATCCCAAAATCATACAACTTATTGCCCTAGATCCGGGCTTTCTTCGCTGCTCATTACCCCTGATCGGGGAGGGTGAACAGCTGCTCCAAGGCGTACTTTCCCTAGAAAATTTGACTTTCAGGTGAAAAATCCACAATTCTTACAATGGTTAACCATCCATCTTGCAGAAAATTATGCTAAATCACTAAAATGGCTACACTGTATTACATGGTTTATATTGCTCCGTCAATCTTTGATTGCCCAACCTCGCCATACTCTACAAAAAAACTGCTAGTACTTATATCCCATGTCCCCATTAAGGATTGCCCAATGCGGGATTTATCCGTGCAATTTGCCCTTACGAATTTCTGAAGCTCTCATTGGTTTTGTGTGAAAGATGGACGTCTCGTCTCCAGAGTGTCGGGTTTCCTTCTTCGCGCCTAGTACTCTTTTGGGCATTTCTCATCTAAGAAACAGCAAATCACGCGCCTTATCTTATGATTTGTATCCTAGCCGTTCCACCTAGCTCTATCAGCTACTGCCTTCTTCACTTTTTGTCTCGTCCAATGGCTCCTCGTATCGTTGGCCTACTTGTCCAACCCTGGTTCCCAATTTCACAACCACTGAAGGAATCAAGCCCCAAAACCGAGCTGCCGGACTCTGGACGCAGAACAGGCATCGACAAGCGCTTTACTAGTTTGCAAATGCCAGGAGTAGCCAGTTGCTTGCACCAAATTGCGGGTCCCGCCGACTTGATTTCTCATACCTCATGCATATGATCACAACCTGCTCGCACCTGGACTATTTCCAGGCGGTAAAATCAGCCATATGCCATGGATAACTCTAGTTCTTGTTAAAATTCCTTTTAGTGTTCCATACATCTTCGTGTTACCACGATCATAGTTCTAAGCGCCGACGGAGCACGACTGACGTTAGAGCATCCCAAACATTAACCTATCATATCACATGGCTTCAAAGTTGCTCGGTTTAACTTCATAGATACATACTAGAGTCTGCAGGTCGAGTTTAACTTAACTTTCGCTTACAGGATAGGCAATATATGACCATGAGCGATGCAGCTTCTTAAACCAGACCTCGCTCCTCCCCTGTTTAACAGCAGGACAAGAATAACTTGAGCTCGAGACAAAACTTCAAAGATTCCATGCCAGTATTGGACATCTTCAAAGCACTCAGACTTGATTTGGCAGTCCATGCAACTTGTGGCAAGTCAAAGTCGATCCCCTAGAATTTCAAGGACCGAAGAAAGCGGATGACTACTCAATTTTAACAAGAGATCGTACAAAGACACATTATTTCGTACATCGGTATGTCCTCTCCTCTGACTAATCTGCACTCTATTAACAAAGCTTAGATTGAATGTTGATTTTAGTGCCTAGTTCCCAAATCCGCACGAATCTTAAATCTTTCGAGTAAGAAAATGGCGTCTCACATACTTCGGAGCACTCGGTTATATACCCGCCAGCTGAATGAGCAAGAGATGGACATACTTGCAGCTTGGCTTGCAACACTTGATCCCGTTCAACCTGGGGAGGAAGCAGCAGAAGTCACCGTCGTGTTACACCACTCTCTAAGAAGGAATGATAGATTAAATGCAGGAACTACAAGTGGCAAGCTCTCACAGGAGACCTCAGATTGTGGCTCTCTTTCCCATCACGCGAAATCAGGAATAGCTTCACAAACAGAATTCAACAACAACGTTGGCGCCTATCTAACGACGACGAGATCTGAAGCTAACAATTCTCCTGACTGGAAGCCGGACTCACGACAGATCAAAAGTTTCAGGCCCCCTCCGATTTTGATACCTAGCATGTCAAACTTTTCACAGGTCAAAAATTACGATAAGGTGGATAGTATTGGCGAACGAATCTTGCCCGAGATGATTAGAGTGCAAACTTCTGGTACAACTCCAATCACAGCCATTCGTACTCACTATCCTCCGACGGTATTATCAGACCATGTAACCAAGAATGATTTGCAGAATATCCCAATCAGTTCCAGTCCTCCATTCAGGCAATACGAAAAGCAAGATTCTAGAGTGGCGAACTGGGTACGGAATGCATCTTCAAATTCTTCTTATCTCGGACATCAATCACAAAAGATCTCCTCCAAGGATGTTCTTAATGGTTCTCTATTACCCCATAAGCTTCATGACACTGCGAACGACCCAGCGATTCTTGCATTGATGACAGCAGTTGTAGAAGAGAAAATGGTTGAGGAGGCCAGGATCTCCCCACGTCTAATTGGAGGTTCAGAACGCGTCACCTATGCATCATCAAACTCAAGTACGAGCTCTCGGGAGCGGAGGTTGCCTCCTAATGGTCGACCCAGAGGGTACCCATATCTCAAAAGCGACCTGCATCGAGACACTGGTAGACTCGGGATCTATCAACCTAACGTATCACCTGCATACTCTCAAACTTAGACATACCATCCAAAGTAGCGCTATCAGACTAGTTTGCCGACCTTCAATATCATTGTGGCCTCTCTTCATACTCGAATCTCATACAGCTTCACAATTTGCACATTCTCTTACACAGTGGCAACGTCCTGCCATTCTACCCCAGTGTGCCAAGCGCCTACAGATTTTTATCTACTCTTGCGACTTCCGGAATGTTAGCAATTATCAATCGAAATCGTGCCCGATTTTAATGATGAATCTTCCAATCTGCGAGCATTAGCTCTTTGCAACCAAAATAATCCTCAACATGATCTGTGTTGAATCAAAGTATCGAACTGCACACAATCTACCGAAATCACTCATCATTTTCTATGTGTTGGCAGAAATTATCATCGAAGGAGAGGCGGTTATTGAGTCTTATGTTTCAGGAAAAATTGATAGTGCACTACTTCTTGTCCGACAGTACGAAAATTTTGTGATACCTCCGCTTCAATGTTGTCTTCAACTCTTCTATATATATATATCTTTCACAGATCATTCTGATTCTGTTTTTATAGTTTTCTATTCAATTTCATATATACTTCACACTTACTACGCTGACTTTGTCCCTGTATATCGGTGCGCGATTAGAACGGAAAATCGAGTGGCATAAACAGCATGAAACTAATTTTCATTCGTCATTGCATAAGGCAGCGACAACGAATAGAGTAAACTGTCAAATTCCATTCCACCTTGTTGTGTCTGGAGCATTAGGTTCGTGCTCTCCCTGTGAAATAAATCCAAAAGAGAGTTTTCAACAATTGTTAGATGGTAAAGAAGGAATGCATGAGACCTTTGTGAATTCATCTTGTAGTGAGTCTAGATACACATAATCATGTAAAGACGTGATCACCGCACATTACTTATACTAGCTTTCGATATACACACGTAATACCCCTTGTGGATTATTCTTGAGTGGTGCGTCGAGGAGCATAAAGTTTTTTCCTCTTATTGCCTCTCCAGAATGCCACCCAAAGGCATTACGAGCTAAAAAGAGAAAATCTTGATTATGGCAAGCTTGGAAACGGTTCTGTTTTTAACGTGCCCGCTAATAATTAGGGGGGCGCCTACTTAGTACGCGTCTGATTACAATCCAAATAGAAATTCTTAGCATATGTTTTTTCTACAGGACCTATTCAATTCATCTTGTGAATCTCATTCCCAACAACGATACTCCAAAACTGAATTTTTCACAACATAAAATGAGCTCTCAAGGCCCCTCTACACCTACTACAGCACTTGCTTCAATGGTAACCAGTGGTAAGCCTGATTCTTTCGTTAATATCGCATCCCCTAAATCCCAAATTACGTCATTGGATGACTTGTATGCATATTATCAAACTTTTTGCACAACTTGGATTCTTTACTTCCCTTTTTCAGATCTGGAATAAACTCACTGACTGCTTGATATTATAGCCTTTGCGTCATTTTCGGTTAAACCTGCTGGCTTGGAGAATACATACCCGGGCTCCAAGAAAGAAGGATCATATGGTAAAAGCCTTGTTAGTCCTTTAGAAACGAGTGTGGTTCACGAAGTTTCCCGTCGCTCCGATTCTGCCGTTGTTTTGTGTTCGACAGTCTTTTGCGATAAATTTCTAAAATGTAAATGTCTCGGCGACGGCGCCTATGGATTGGTCTACCTAGTGGAAGAAATAACCACAGGAAAGAAGTTCGCTCTCAAGTTAGAAAAGTCAAATACAGGGAAGTTGCGGCAGGAGTGAGAATTTCAACGTCATTTGGATCATCCATCGATTATTCGGGTGTATGATTTTTACAACGGTGGAACCGGTGGCGGAATGGTTATGGAGTTGGGAGAGAACTGTATGTTCGACATGATGCGTGCTAATCGCAAATGGTCCATCGAAGAAGCCCAAATGAAGGTGTACTTCAAGGATATCATCCTCGGAATTCATTACTTGGTAGGTACCAGTTCCGAACTAGAGATGATATATTATCCTCAAAGTGATAATTGCAGTCGCTAATATTATCAACAGCATTCCCAAAATATTGTCCATCTTGACATAAAATTAGAAAACATAATCCTCGGTTGCGAGCCTGAAAGGCGTATGAAGCTCTCAGATTTCGGCTTTTCTCAAAAGTTGAAACCGCGCAAAAGGATTCACAAGGATACCGGGTACGTATGAAGTGAAGTGTGGGATATTTAGAAGATTTTGCTAATAGTATCATAGAAAAGGAACTATTCCTTGTAGGTTCCCTCTCCGTCCTATGGCGTTCAACAGTTTGTACTATAGTCCACATTTGCAATTTCGTGATATTTGAATACAAATATTTGTGAGTATATTGGTGATACTGAAAGATCCAAATTTTTTGAGTTGATTCAATATCTGTTGAAATGAAGCGCGACACAAGGAAAACCCTGTTGATCATTCTATCCTGTACTTTTGCATTTTCTTGGTCTCCGATCAGGATTTCAGTTTTACTGTCGGGAAACTTGCTAACTTGCTTAGATCTTGCACCAGAGTGCTTCTCAAGAGACGCCAAGATTATTGGTATAGGGCTTGAAGTCGATATCTGGGCGGCAGGCGTAGTCCTTTTTGAGTGCTTGAAAGGGTACTCCCCCTTTGACGGTGATGAGAAGGATGGCCAAAAAGGGATTGATACAATAAAGCAAAGGATCAAAGAATATAGATTCATAGATCCACCTCTAGAGGATTCAGTGAAGGTGAGCCCAGAGGCGGAAGATTTAATCATAGGGATGTTGAAATTCGACTTGGGCGAAAGGTGGACAGCCGAGCACTGTCTTCAACATCCCTGGATTACTGGCCACCCGCTCTCATGAATCTAATGAAATCTTGCTGCGGTTGGAGTTTGGAGATGGACAAATATAGCGTGCACTTGATGACAAACTTGGCACGAGGTCGTTCAATTTTGTTTCTGGATGTCGCTGGAGTTTAGGTTTTGTAGGATAAAAAACGGTTATGGTATGGCAAATAGCCAACGGAGCGTATGATTTAGGGCATGAGGTTATGATCTCTGTTTAATCTTATTGGAGTTTTGGGATAATGGGGTTCGGCGGAATACAAGAGCTGGATGACTTCAGATTGAGACGCACATCGCTAGGTACTCGATGTTATAAAATGGAATTTAGAAAAAACTGGCTAGAGATGAAGATTTTCAAGTGATTTGGTGTGTCTGTTTGATACTTGAGAGAAGGAAACTCTGGAAAATGTGGCATTACAGTTGCATACACTCGCTGCAATTGACCTCTTCACTATGTTTGGATATTTCCCGTATAAAATCTTTGATATTTGTGGTTGGAGGGATCAATCTAAGCACAAATTAATGTACCTAACGATAGTACCTATCACACTCGGGCATTAATTGTGATGCTCTGTCGTGTCCATGTATGATGCAAAGGCAAGAGCACAGTACATGATGGCGCAGCTCAAGTTGGCGAAGTATGTAATAAAGCCTGCAGAAAATCGTGCAAGGAGCTCAATGATCGCATCAAAAATTTGTGCAGCTCAAATATTCCAGGAAAATAGTGATGGTGATTAGTGTCCGAGAAACTCAAGTGAATCTCTACACTTTTGCCGCAAGCAAATGAGAGGACTCGTATCAAATCCTACGCCCACAACGCGAAGTTGGCAGAAACAGAGCGCCGCACTAGCAGTTCGTGTGTCGGCATGCGGGAATTATATACAATTCAAAGATATATATAACCAAAATTGAAGAACAAAGATGAGTTACATAATATCTTTAAGTCAATTGGGCGATATTTTTGGAATACTATCCATTACGGGCCATCTTGATGAAGATGAATAATGCCTGTCCTCGACCGATTCGTCAAATTTTCTTTGGACCAGCGCCGCGTGCGAGGATGACAGACGCCTGGAAAGACTCTTTCAAAAGGTCGGCATCACTGCATATGAGCCCTTTCAACCGGAAAAGAAAATTGGTCCTATGATGAACTGGAACATCCCAATCGTTTAGGGTAAAGTGAGTCTCGGGAAGACGGTCGAGTTTGACTGTGCTGAGATGAGGAAATAGAATTCCTTGCCAGAATTGACACAAAACCTCTGGAAAACATGGTGGTAACTATCTTTGAGGATAGAGGAGTGTTGATGTTATTGATGTTGTCGACATTGTTGACGTTGCCCTATGGCTAAATAACCTTGTTGAAAGAAAGTTCTAACATATGGTAATGATAGCCAAATTTTGCAGAAAGTGAGGCCATGGCAATTGAAGATTTCATCAATGAAAAGGAGGCTACTCTAGTAGCGTACAGCAGCCAAAGAGAACATATTTTACATGATAGACCGCTGACGTTCAAAGACAGTTGATGGCTGTGCAGTGTAGAATTTTTCGTTCAAGGGGCACTCAAAATTCCAACTTGGTAGGATTCAACGTGGGATTAGCTGCACTTCGCAGTTTCCACTATAAACAGATCCAACTAGGAAAGCGCAAAGATGTAGTCGATGTATCTACCATCCTATAACTGAATTATTTAGCCCAGGCCAAGATCAATGGTGCAGTATAATAAATATCTTTGGAGTAATCCTGTCGCACCTTACAAATGGATCTAATTATAGAGCAAAATAGAAAGCACGAAGAGACATGGCCAATCCTCTTTTCGTTGAGACCTAGCTGATAATAGGTGTATTCGCTAGCATACTTATTGACTTCCCATAATCTGATTCTTTAGGATAGCGAACTAGCCACGAAGTAGATGTGTAGCGTAAGTTGACAGCTGAAAAGATTTTTAAAGGTAGGAAAGTAGAGGACTCTCAACCGAAATGTGCTGATGGACATCATGAATTCCTCCAACCTTGATCGGATAGCCAACTAAGAGAAGAACTTTGTAGTTTTAGCATTATCCGGCTCTAAGGATCTGTAAATCACACTCTCTCAACACATTGAACAATAACCTTAAGAACAGACAATCAGAAACACAAGACTGAGCGGAAATAGTTCCAAATACCACTGGGAATGCCTCGGAATGTCTCGGAACGGTTCACTGTTTCCTACATTAGCATGGCAAATAAGGCTTGTCCTCCCGCTTGCGAGTAGGCGATACTTAGGTATACAACAACTTCTCATCGACGTCGACGTCGATTGTGTTTCTGAAGCTCAGTAACATGCACGTGGGGCATTTTTGGTTTCGAGTGAAGGTAAGCTCTTGGTAGTATCACGTGACCTTTGACTTGCAGACGGGAGGTATGAGTACGATGACATGTTTTGTTAGTTTGTATAGGTTTCTCTCTGGTGTTCACTGTGCATTGTGTTGTGGATATAGATGGTTGCTTAACATTATCACGGTGGTGTTACAACATGTAAAAACATTTTGGCCTAAAGTCAAGCTACACACAACAAAGATCTACTCTAAGCTTCAATTTGAGATATGTTATAACCATATGAAGCTCTATATTGGGATAGAACATAGCACTTTGTTGAATCGTTTCTTTGGACTCGAATAGATCAATAATATCTCCAATGTGGAATTTTCATGATCTGTCCCATGGTCCTCTCAGGTATCATGGGATGCTAGCCACGAATCTCATTTCCTTTTCAAAGCAATCCTTTCGTTGCTACCACTTAAGTTTTCCACAAGAATATCATCCTTAATTACCATGGAAGTCAACGTACCCCTTTCCAGCCACAAAAGTGGCATCCCAAGGCAAAGGTTGCTCACTAGTCGCTAACTCGTAGAAGAAATCTCCATGTGCCTGACCATTAATTGCGAGTCCAATAATTTCTCCCTCTGGGGTTCGCTCATCCGCCCAGTAAAATCTATGACACATGTCAATTGACATCCATAATTCCATTTATTTTTTACTCACCTATATCCATCTTCCTTATATGCTTCCGAGGCACTCTGGATCAGGTGAGCTGCTGCAGATTTTCCCATGCCGAATGCAAGCAATGATGGCATGACTCGACGATTCAGGATGTTTCCAGTGTAGATGAATGTCTTGGTGGTGCCTTTGGGTAGGGTTTTGAATCCCTCTACAGCCTCGTGTGCAGCAGCATATGCTGAAGTAATTACTACATTGAGATCTTGGTTGAATTTTTCAAGTGGAATTGAGAGAGGATCAGAACTAGGTGTATGTGCGTAGGCTATTGTATTCGTCAGTGTGTTTTCATTGGTCTGAAACAAGTTATCCAAGAGCTTAGACTGATCAACTCATCTCAAAAAGACTCATCAATGGATATGGTTTTGAAAAATCAAAAATCTAAGATTATAGGATGGCAGTCTAAACAATCGGAAACTTCCAGCTTAAAAGGCAGGGACAAACCATTGTAAACCACCACATTAGGAACTCCAAACTTCTGTTTCACTTCATCAAAGATCTTTTTGATGTTGTTGGGATCAGTAAAATCGGCCTGAAGAGATAGATCGGTCGCTTTAATGAGCTCTTCTTTGGGAGTTCGCGATACAGATACAGTCTTGTATGAACCCTTTGTTGAGAAAACACGAGCAACGCTGAGCCCAACATTAGGACCCCCACCGAGGATGAGAATGATATTCGACATGATGGCTTGTGAAGAGAATTTGATTTCGAATGTTTGTATGCAAGAGACGTTTTTGAATTATAGTGAATGATTTAATGCCTAAGTGTTGGCTGTGTATGAAACTATGATGAGATGTCTTTGAACAGCCTTGAAGTTAGAGGGAAGAGGTCTACTTATACAAGACATATCCATACTGATTAGCAAACCCTAAGCTGCTTACGAACCATCATTCATGATAGATATCGATATGTTGCTTACAAACAGATAACTCCTCATAGTTGATGATGGACATATCTGATTTGACTATGTGTAGTCATTGTTTCCCAATGTAAGACCCAAGACGGCCGTGCACGGCGGAGTGAGCGGAACGTGGTTTCAACTAATAACCTTATGGGAAGGCCCTGTGAATAGATCGGGGTCCATTTTGGCTCCGGTTGCTTTGTCTGATTATAAATACCCGTGGACCATAATGATGATGCAATTCATGATCAATCAACTCGGACAGCTGCAATTGGCCACTATGCCATGGACATAGGCTGACATTATGGTTAAATAGCACCGGAGCACCAAGGCAAGTGAAGTTATTTTACGATTTGCTATATACTCCATATGTTAGTCCTCTGAGGAGAAGAAGCTTTAATTCGGTATGAATGAAAGATGGAGTAGAGAAGGGAATAAATTCTGCCGTGATGGAACATCTCACCGCCTTCCAGAATATGCCATCACTCGCGCACAGACAATAAAGCTCTAGCCCGTTTCCGTACACAACCCCCACAAGTAGGCGAAGGCTTTTCTTTTCCCTCATAACTTTTCTCTCTCATACTTTGTGGTTGTATATACTCGATGCATACTACACATTTAGTATTAAAGTCAGCTGACATTCATTCATTCAACATCCATCTATTTATCCATCCATCTATTTATCCATCCATTCATTCACCCTCTCCTCCCTCCCTCCATTCATTCATGCCCATCCAAGTAATTATGACTCAATCCAAAAAATATAAAAATTATATCATTTCGTCTGACATTTGCCTTCTTTCCCTTCATTTCCTTGTTCACATTGCTTTGCAGTGGAACATAGCCGCGGCTCCAACGTGATCTCTCAAAGTTGATTGGCTGTGTGATACCGTGAGTTTCTCAATATGCGGGGCAAATGGTAAAGCTTTCACTTGCCTGACACCTGACATCCACTGATACCCTAATTTTTACGAAAGTATGAATATCGGACGGCAAAATGAGTGTTGGGCAATGACTTGAAGAGAAATATAAGGATTTCACGCGAACTTTTCTCTTTTTCTTCCATTTTCTTTTTCCACTTCACTTCACTTCAGTCTCACTTCGCTCCTCTTCTCTTCTCTCCTCTCCTCCTCTCTTCTGCCCCATCACATTGCTTTTCCGATACCTCTCTCCCCCTCTCTCTCCCCTCGAGTACAACACTCCAAACCTACATACAACTTCCTAGAGCCGAATGCCCAGCCAGCCAAGTCCCCACTTCCATCCCCACTCTATGACCAACGGGTTAATGATTGCCAACTCACGCGTCAACACACAAACCTAAAAAATCGGGCAAAAACAAAAATGTCAGCCAAACAAGAATTTCGCATTCGAGATTTGAGCACTCGGAGTGTTCTGATCTTTCCCACTAGAGCTCAAATTGTTCGCGATATCAGGGACATCACGTTACAGGTCAGAAAATCATTTATTTATCGCAACTCTCCATAGTTCACGTCTACTGACCAACTTTAGACGGGAACCAATCAGATCATCATCGATGGTCTCGCTCCAACCATCGATGAACATTCCATCAAAGTCGAAGGAAATGGCTCGGCCACTATCACTGAAGTATCCGTTGATCTTCTTCCTAACCGTGAGGTGTATGAAGAAGTTTATTCATCCGATTCCGAGTTTGAGGAAGATACCGATGATGATTCCTCCGACTCCGAGGATGAATCGATGAAGCTTGTCGATACCAAAATCAAGCAAGTGAACCGTTTGCTAGCTCAAGAGGTTGAAAAGATCAACTCGGTCGCAAGTCGTTTAAAAATTTGTGAGGATTATGGGGCTACCGTCCGTGATAATCCTCCGTCGCCCGAGCAGTTCGAGAAACTCATCAAAGCATATCGAGATGAACGTGAGAAGATTTATGTTGAGCATGTAGCTGCAACGGCTGCCTTAGAAGTAACCCAAGACGAAATCGTCAGATTAAAGAAAGAGAAGAACAAATTAACCAAAGCACGAACAAAGGCACAACGGAAAGCATTCAAACAAAAGATTAAGCTTCAAGCGACCAGATCTCGAAAGAATGCCGAGGCAGCAAAGGAGAAATTGCGGATCAAGTCGGAGCGAAGTTTGTTCTGGCCAAAAAAAGTGTACCGCGTCACAATTAGTATCGAACCTACGAGCTCTGCCATGACATCTGGATCATCCCGTCCGAGCTCGGTAGCAAGTGACATGACTGTCAACAACTACCAAGTCTCCAGTCGACGAGCGACGGATATCATTAGCCTCTCCATTTCCTACATCACCTACGAAGTGTCTTGGTCTCCACGCTACGATCTCAGCCTTAATACACTGACTAGCACGGGCGTATTGGAATATGCGGCCGAGCTAAAGAATATGACGTCGGAAACGTGGCGCGATGCCAAAGTTCTTCTTTCAACTTCGCAAACATCCATTACTAGTTTTAATGAATCGATACCTACCCTGCCGCCATGGAACGTGCGACTATTGAAAGGAGGAAGTAGAAATGCTGAAGCCGCTCTTTTCAGCACCAGTGAGATCGCAGCCAAGAGAACGGAGTGGGCTGATAAGAATAACCAGCATCTTCAACAACCTCGATATCTTCTCTTTGGATTCGAGCCGACCAATAATTTATTCGCCAATAAAGCCGGATTTGCGAACACCAATTTGTTCAGAAACGCTCCAGACCAAACCAAAGCAAGTCTGTTCCCGCAACCAACCGTCGCGTTTGGGACCGCTACATCATCTCAAGGCCCAAATGCTGGTACTTTGTTCGGGTCCACTGCCTCGTTCCAAAATCCTGCCCCTACTAGTACTTTATTTGGAGGTGCCTTACAAGCCCAAAATACCGCCTCCGGCAGTGGACTGTTCGGATCTTCACGCCCAGCTCCGGCGCAGAACCATGAACCTGTTGCTGAAAGCCCCACTACACAACAAGCTCAAAGTAATTCTCTCTTTGGGAATGCTCAAGCCCACATACATCAAGAACACAGCCTAAATGTTTCCGCACCGGGGTCAGATATAGGTGATTCCGCAGGGGCATTCGAAGCTCCACTCGTTCAGCGCCTCCTCTCACCAAAGCCTACCCTCACATTCGAAGAAGGAGCTTGGGAAGAGTCTGGAATGTCTACCACCTACGACCTACCTGGACTCAAAACCCTTATGCCTTCAAATTCCGTTCTTAAACACAAGATTGCCAAGATTGAATTCAAGAATATTGGATTCGAGCATGTAGTTATACCCAAGCTCCGGACTGTCGCATTTCTCAAAGCCAAATTACGTAACTCATCCAAAATTCCCTTGTTGGCAGGACCGGTGGGATTAAATCTGGATGGCAGTTTTCTAGGGCAAGCTACTTTCCCAAGGTGCTCTGTCGGAGAGAGTTTTAGCCTGAATCTAGGTGTCGATCCAGCTATCAAAGTGGTTTATAACAAACCCGAGGTGCGACGCTCACAAAGTGGGATCTTCTCAAAGGAAGACAGCAATGTCTTTTTACGTTCATTGTCCTTACGCAACACGAGACTTCAACGAGGTGTCAGTTTATTGGTTATGGATCAAGTTCCCGTCTCCGAGGAAGAGAGACTTCGAGTTGAGGTTTTGGTTCCGCGAGGTTTGAAACCTGACGGTGACAGAATCCCTACCGGGCTGAACTTGGATGACGAGATGTTGCAAGGAGGTCGAGAACGGGAAAGAGATAGGGACAGGGACAGAATGTCCAGCAGTGGTGGCGAGATTGTACGGAGAAGTAAGAAAATCGATGCATGGGGAACGGCCGATGCAGAATTAAAGAAGAGTGGAGAGGTTATCTGGAATGTAAGATTGGCCCCGGGAGCGGGAGTTAAGTTGGTATTGCAATATGAGGCTGGATTTCCAAGCGGGGAGACGGTGGTTAATGCATAGGTGTCGGGATATGGTTATGTGGATGTGTTAGATACATATGAGATGTGTTAGATATGACGGAAGCTTGTTACGATTAGGATATAGTAGTAGATTGTGTAGGTAGCAATTTTATATAGTTCTTTAGATGTATTCTTCCCCAACAATACTCTGTTCATCCATCGTAATATGCTTTAAACATCCCATTAATGTAGCAGCACCAGAATCCCAGAGTCAGGTTAAAAACCTTGGCGAAACAAAACAACAGAAACACACATGGTTCTACCGCAACGGTTGAAGTTACAAGATCCTCGGATATGTTTACTCCGGGGCACAAAACATGCGCGTTGAAAACGAAATAAACAAATTTGGCTTTAATGCAATGGCTCTGACGAGCAGCGTTATCGAGAACTGGAAAAGCAGAAGTTGGGACGGTGAGCTAAATGCTTGTGTGGTTCTCCATTCCATGTCTTGAAGGACCCTATGTTGTTGGGTACAGCAATATGGTTGGCACGTTATGATATTTTTGCTTTATACGGACGGCTTCGAAGGTAGGACAGTTTGTTTGGAACATGTTTTGAAATGGGAAAATGCCCATATAATTCAACTTTGAGAGCGGCGTGCTATTCGTTTTCTTCATGATGAGATGATGCACGGCCATGGGAAGTTTCTGTATTTGATAAGTATTAAACACCAACGATTGTTGATCTGTCCCCTTTTGTGATGAGTGAGTGTGTCAAAATAAAGACCTCGGATTAACGCGGTAAGAAGGCTCATATAAGTAGAGCAGAGAAGAGTTAGATGCACGAAGTGTATTACAAGTGGAATTTTGGATCAATGGGTCTTTAGGCAGTATTATGGGAAACTTCTAGTTCATCATTGAGAATTTTTGTCTTGAGATAATTAATAGCAAAGGCAATATCATCACCATCAGAGGTCCTGTGTGAGATACAACTCCCCTATACGTCCGTTTTGATTCTCATGGATATTTGGTCAAGCGATATTCAATATTCAAGTGAGGTTGAGGATACTATTCTTCCAGGTCAAAAAATAGAACGACTGTGAGGATTGCATGCCTACGCCATCACATTCAAGTTTTGCGGGGGTGCAGCGTGGTACTCAGCCGCAGTAAAGTTCCCCGGCAATGTACAATAGCAGTCGTTGGTTACAGCATGGCTGATATGAAAAAGGAAAATGATATCTGGTGATAAGGAGATTTTAGGAGTGCCCAATATTGCAAATCAGGAACACGCAATCATAGACGATCTGCAAGGTATTCAATAATCATAGCCTCAAATTGCTATGTAACAATCGATCCGTGTTTCGTAGTTCATCTGAGCCATAAAGACTGAAGCATAAGAATCTAGCCGATCATTCAAGCCCTGGATGTTATGGGATACGCGCACGATATACTGATACTCTTTCATATTTCATCTTAAGCTTGATGTTAATTACTTTGAGTAGTTTCCAGATATCATAAAACATCAATTAAGAAGATAGCTATGTCCTTGGACGAACCAGAATGTTCATGCCCCGAAGGTACGAAACAATAACATGCCCAATACAAACTTCCAGGGAGTCTTCATGATCAGTGTCGAACAATAGTGACATGGTTCTCCGTCTCTCAGGTACTGAAATAAAGTTACGAACAAGCTTTTGATTCAGATCAACATCATACCTGTGTTTGTGCAGCCATTCCAAACGAGGATTAAATGTGTCTCGTTTCGATGGCAGACGTGTTTGACGCAAGATGCGCAAGATGGAAGCCCCAGTCTTGAAAGTTTGATCTCATCCCATCTTGAATGATCTGCCTCTACAGATTCAAATATTGGCGGAGTCAAAGACACGCATGCCTTGTGATATTGGTATGATGGCCATTTTCAGTGATTATGGGGAATATTTAGAGACGGTAATGGTTTGAGAATACCTCTGGTGAGGTAGTGGCCTGTCCGGACTTCCGAAGCGCACGCACGCATGTACAAGGTACTCACCACACTGATGGCACGATTGAGACGGAACAAACTCAGGGGTTAATGGTGAGTAATTAAGATACTTTTGAAATAAAATCCTGAAGGCATGGTATCAATTGTGCGAATTTGGAGAAGGGAAGGATTGAGAGGAACGATGAGTACATAATGTGGTCTAATAGGATTGTGTAGGTTGCGACTTCAAAATCAAGTAAGCAAGCTAGACAATGCAAATTAAAAATCACGAGCAAAATACTACCTACAACCATAATACACTCCTTGAGCTTATCCTTATATTACAAGGATTTGACAAAGTATGTAAAACTTCTTTCTTAGTACGATGCTATGCAGCGGAAGGAAGGGTGGGTAATGGAAATGTAGTGAAATGTCACATCGAGCGGACGCTAGCATTGATGTTTGTATTCATGAAGAAAAATTATGAAGAAAAAAAACCAAAGTTTTTTTTTTTATCTAATTAACGCGAAGCATCACCAAGACTTTAATGCACTATGATCAGATGATTGGTGGCCGAAAGCTGATGTTTCAGATCATAGTACCAAGCGGTTTCAAGCTTGAGTGGTGGGAATACCATTCTATAGACTTAATTCGTCAACCGATAAGATCTGATATTCATAATTTCATTGTCTCTTACAGACAAATTACTGGCTGCTAGGCCGCGGCCATCAAGAGATGATGGGAACGAAGCGCCAAAAAAATTTAGGGTGTGATGAAGGGGGTACGCGAGGGCGACGAGACGGCACGAGTAGCAATCGTTCTGTAGAGTACAATGTTACTGTTCTGAAGAATGACGCGTTCTGCTTTGTGTACACTGTAGTGACTTTAAGTTCCTTCCACAGCAAAAAGAATCGATTCGACACAAATAATCTTCTAGATCAAATCCACGGCAATGACGTGCGGATCAGGAATCTTAGATCTTATCATAAGTGGTAAATTTCAAAACATTGTATAATCACATTAAAAATAATCTGAGAAACCAAGAGACGCAATCGGGTCTATTAGATAATGATAAGCGCTCTCATCAATTTGCTTCCGTCTAAAAAAAATAAGAATGGAGTCGGATCGAAAAGCTTAGGCTTAGCATTATTTGAGGTAAATGTTAGCAGCAGCTAGGTACTCATTTGCCCCACGTTTTTGTTATGATCGCCCCGGAGACATAGCTAAACCTGTATATCATTACGGAAGAGGATTGAAAAATTGGTTCGACCAAGTGAAAATTTATATGAAGATGGGAATGATCAGTTGCTCGGCATTCAATATGATACTGATGTGAGGATAACTACAGAGGTTACTACAGAGGTTACCACAGGCTTATAGGACCATGGTTGATTCGAACAAATGACCTATCTCTTGGTATTAGAATGGGATCCGTATATGCAAATTCAATGCTCTATAATACTCCAATCAGAATTGGCTTTAGGAAAATCAATTCTAAAAACATCAGGATCTTACATGACGGTCGATGCTTTCCATTGAATCCTTTGAATATTACTGGCTGTTAAGTTCCCCATTCAACAATGTGCCCACCGGTGGCCCTATTTTCAGGGGAAAGTGTGCCAAGCCTGCAGCCAATTGATGGACCCTAAGCCATCCATCGCCAAACAAGCCCTTTCACGTCTGTTTTGTAATTAGGTTATTGAAGAATGAATGAATGAATGAGTCCATCTACTTCTTAAAATTTAGGTGTATACTAGTGTGAATGTCAGATCAGTTTGAAAGCTTCCCCAGTGTCTTGTAAGATCTTGGAACAAAAAAACAAGAGACACTGAACGCGAATTGAAAAAGGCTAATTCTATAACTTCGAAATGGTACATACTCGTATTTTCATGATAACGCCAAGCTTCAGAACCCTTTAGGGCTCCCCTGAATCTAAAAGGGCCCATATCATGACTAATCTTACCATCGTTCTGCTTCTGTGTACCAACTTCCAAGCCTACCATATTATCAATTTTCACGGCTCTCCATATGCGTTCCATATATTGAGCCGCCTTGAATTCAACAGACTCGCCTGATTCGGCTTTGACTGTGTACGATTTGTCTTATCCAGGTACTCCGTACGTATAGACATTTTATCTGTACGGATCTGAGCACCTTTCTTACAACCTCCCGCTTCCACAACCCCATACCCTTAAAATCTTTTCTTATGCAAAAGTTCTCACACCAAAAACAAGGGCTCATTGGAAGTCTCGTCGTCAATCTTAAAGCACAGACAACGCCATGAAGTCCAGAAAAAGATCAAACACGCATATCCCCGGTTACTCAAGACGTTAGGGACTATTCCTGAATAAGTATCATTCTCCACCAGTATGCCGCAGCTTGTGTCTGGCATACAGCTTTGGCGTTTGAACCTTGTCTTCAAACTTGTAAATCAAGTGGTCTAAAGCTTCATGCGTAATCACCATATTTCTCCTACTTATTCTTCGTGAAAAGCCGCGTGTTTTCGTTTTAGTTTCCATACTCTTTCTATCTCCATCCATCTTCATACCCAGGACACTCCAGGGTCTTTCTTTTTTTTGCAGCTAGATTTCCAGTCATTTTTTATATATCTATTTACATTTCCTTCATAATAATATTGGGGCCGGCATCCATTTTTCTTTCTCACTTCATTATTTTCAGCGATCTTCATCTCTCTTGTGGTCTGGTTCATCCCAAGCGATAGCAATAGTCTTTCATTCAAACAAGCCGACCTACTCTTTCTTTCCACAGTACAACCACCTGGTGTGGCACTATCAATCATTCAAGATGCCTTCAATACTTCAAGCATTTTATGCCCTTGCCCTTCTCAACTTAGTACTCGCCGCTCCGCATCCAGCGCAAAAGCGAAGCTTCAAAGTCGAACGAGTTGCGAATCCTAATTATGTCGGCCGAACACCTGGTGCCGGTACCAGAGCTCTCATCAAGGCATACAACAAGCATTCCATGACTCTTCCAAGTTCATTGGTCGAAGCCTTGAACTCTGATACCAACCCTGCCTTCCCAGAAGGAAACTCCAAAGCCGCAACTGGAAGCACAACCGCCGTAGCCGCGGCGGCAAGTGGTAGCGGAACTGCAGGAACTACTGGTCTTGTCGTTGCTATGCCAGAGACCGGAGATACTGAATATTTGTCGCAAATCAATATTGGTGGACAAACCATGACTATGGACTTCGACAGTGGATCATCTGATCTTTGGGTCTTTAGTACTCAACTTGCAACCGCCTCTCAATCTGGTCACCAAAACTTTGACCCCTCCAAATCGAAGAGCTTCAAGATGATGCAAGGTGCTACTTGGTCCATCTCATATGGTGACGGATCCGGAGCTGCTGGTAACGTTGGAACTGACACTGTCAACATTGGAGGAGCAACTGTCACTGGACAAGCAATCGAAATGGCTACCGCCGTCTCCAGATCATTCGTCGCTGATACTCAGTCTAACGGACTTGTCGGACTTGCATTTTCCAAACTCAACACTGTCAAGCCTGCTCAACAAAAGACCTTCTTCGACAATGCCATGTCACAAGGTCTCGCCATGCCAGTTTTCACTGCCGATCTCCGCAAAGCCTCTGCTGGATCCTACGAATTCGGAAACATTGATTCTAGCAAGTTCAACGGATCGCTCAGCTGGGCCGCTGTCAACACTACTCAAGGATTCTGGCAATTTAGCTCCACCAAATTCACCGTTGGTGGTGGTGCCGCAACTGCTGTACCAAATGGACAAGCTATTGCTGACACCGGAACCACTCTTATGTTGGCCGACCCCAACATCGTCAATGGTTACTATAGCAAGGTTCAAGGTGCTGTCAACGACCAAAGTGTCGGAGGTGTTACATTCCCTTGCTCAGCCAAATTGCCAGACTTGGCAGTCGATGTTGGAGGAAACTATATGGCTGTTGTCCGTGGTGATGATATCAACTATGCACCTGTTGATAACACTGGTAAAAGTAAGTCATGCCTTAATTCTCCTTGTCTATTGAACAATTTGCTAACAGTCATTCCTCACAGCCTGTTTCGGAGGTCTCCAAGCCACAACCTCCAATCTCCAAATTTACGGTGACATCATGTTCAAATCTCAATTTGTCGTATTCAACGGGGGCAACAATACCCTTGGAATGGCTCCTCATCAAGGCTAGATTCCTTTCTTTGTTCTTTTTAGATAATCAATCTTGGTATATGTTGAGATAGCATAATAGAGGCACATCGATGCCGAGCTACTGTTTCGGGTGTTGGGTGTTGGGTGTTGGGAGGGATGGAAGATGGAAGATGAAGGAATTGGTGAGATTGAACTATATATAGACAAGGCGGGCTGTCTAGGGGACAATTTACGTGAAAAAGTTGGAGATGTCTGGAACAATCTATATTCACTAAGCTAAGGATAAGACTGAATGAATATATGATTTCATGTTTTGTACCTATATAATAATTACCTGGATCTTCGAAGGTTGGCCATCCATCTAAATCTTACCAATCTATGTGTAATGAGTGCATTTACATCTTTAGTGAGTGTGAACTAGCCATTCCTCCAATTTGCAGAGGCTACCTATCTAAGAGGTACCTAGAGCGTGGCAATTTAGAAGGTACCTTGCATATATCATGCCAGGTAATGTCTTCATAATTGGTTCAAGGTAAAAGGTTTTTCCATCAAGAATGACGAGTTTGAAGACCTAAATGAGATTAACATGCCCTTCAAAATGACACTCTCCCTCCATTTCTACTAACCACGAGCCAGCAGTAAATGAAGACATATGGAATCCTTTATAGTATCATGCTTGCAGATCTAAGACGCCTCGCTTCAGAATATATCTTTACTATTCATGTTCAAACATCGCGGCATCACTCGGTCATTTTCACCTGTTAGTGCACACAAGTCTCAGTCCTTCATTCTATAACTTTTTTCCTTTTTTCCTTTTTGTCATTCATTCTCTGTAATGATCTGGACTATCTATAATTCTAAAGGTATTCGTGTACCAAGGTAACGCCTAAACACAAAACTCAATATTTACTCCAACGTATGTGTGCAGTTGGTTCCAGGAGGCTTGCTTGTGTAGTCGTATACCACTCTGCAAACGCCATGAACTTCGTTGATGATTCTTGTAGAAACCTTAGACAAGAAAGCATTCTCAAAAGGATATGCGATAGCGGTCATGAAATCAGTTGTCTGAACTGCTCTCAAAATAATAATGTTTCCATACATTCTCTTGTCACCCATAACACCTACAGCCCTGCTTGGATCAACAGCCGCGAATGCTTGCCCAATGTTGTCATAGAGGCCAGCCTCTCTGATCATGGAAATAAAGATATGGTCGGCTTGTCTAGCCATCTCGACACGTTCCCGGGTAACTTCTCCCAAGACACGAATGGCAATACCTGGACCTGGGAAAGGATGACGCATAACGAGCTCATGAGCAATGCCCAACTCTCGTCCCAATTGTCTAACTTCATCCTTGAATAATTCTCTCAAGGGCTCAATAAGTTTGAGCCCTTGACCTTCTGTCATACGCTTAGGAAGACCACCGACATTGTGATGGGTTTTAATAGTTGCCGAAGGGCCCTTGAAAGATATACTTTCAATGACATCAGGATATAATGTTCCCTGCAAGAAGAATTCGATCTTGCCTGCCTTGTCTGAGTTGGCAGCTGCGTCTTCAATCTTTTTGGCCTCGGCTTCGAAAACATCGATGAACTTTCCTCCGATGAATTTTCTCTTTGCTTCTGGTTCATCAAGACCCGCTAAACCGTCCAGAAATTGTTCAGATGCATCTGCCACAATCAGGTTGATACCGAGATTTTCTGTTAATGTCTTTCGTACTTGTTCGCACTCGTTCAATCTCATGACACCATTGTTGACGAGAACGGCATGGAAACGGTCTCCAATTGCCTCATGCATTAATTTAGCAGCAACAGTTGAATCGACACCTCCACTGACAGCACCCAAGACTTGACCTTTCTCTCCAACCAATGTGCGGATTCTAGCGATCTCTTGATCCACGAATTTGGCCATAGTCCAGTTCGTTTGAGCTCCGCAGATACCGACGGCAAAGTTCTTGAGAAGTTGAATTCCATTTTCTGTATGAGTGACCTCGGGGTGGAATTGAAGAGCTACAATTCAATTAGTTCTATTTTCATGGAGGAAAGATAGTCCAAATGGATGATTCTAAATTTCCATACCATAGATGTGTTGGCTCTCGTGTGCAATTGCTGCATACTCCGAGTTCTGGGTTGTAGCAATAGTGTGAAATCCGTCTGGCAATGCGCCCAATTTATCACCATGACTCATCCATACTTTAACATCACCCTCCAATCCTGCGAATAAACGATCAACATGTCCATTATCAATTTTCTTTGCCTTCAAGTCAGCATGTCCGTATTCACGAGCTGTGCCAGCGATAACGTTGTCTTTGCTAATTCTATAGGCAATCTCTTGCATGCCGTAGCAGATACCGAGAATTGGAACTCCAAGCTCGAAGTATGCGGGGTCGACGTGTGGTGCACCATCTTCATATACTGAGTATGGTCCTCCGGACAGAATGATACCTTTTGGCTTCCAGTCGAGATCTGCAAGCTTTTGGGTACATGGAAGCATTTCTGAGTAGACATTGAGTTCGCGCAAACGTCTAGTGATAAGATGAGTGTATTGGGAACCAAAATCCAAAGTAAGGATCGTATCGTAAACCTTGTGAGGTTCGATCTCAGCGGGAATCTGTGTAGAAGACATTTTGAAGTGATTTTAGGAGATATGAGAATATAAAAGGAACGAGGAGTGAGGAGTGAAGGCTGAATGAAAGAAGAATATGAGTCTGAGAAAAATATCTGGAAGAAAATTTGGTTGGGTCGCATGCTTATCGGGAGGGTGGGCTTATCGGGAAGGAGCTAGTCTGGGAATGGTTTAGGGAGGGGCAACTCACATGGGGTTTTCGTGGAGAAAAGAGAAGCCGCAGCCGGACAAAGTCACTAGAACGGTAATTATATATAAAAAATCTGGTCGCAAACTGACCACCCACTGATCGATCCAAAATATATAATTATATACCTGTATATAAATTCTTTTGATAATTTTGTGAGAACTGTTTAAGTAGGTAGTACCTGAGCGAACACTTGTTCAAACATTCAATTTCATGCACCGGGAACGCGGAGTACATCCAGATTCTCAAGTTGGATTTAGACTCAATTCCTAGAAGGTTTTCTACTTCTGTTAGTCAAGTGCATTTCACAAAGTGGAACGGCGACATGAGAGCATACAAAAGAGTAAGGTTGAATTCGTTAGGGCCTAATAGACAAGACAGCTAGTAGGATATCGGGAGATGCGTACATAGGTGCGTAGGACTAACCAGTAATGATAGTCGTCGGTATAGCTCTAGTAATCCGCCTCATCAGGCATTCTTTGTGCTAGAGCCGTGGTACGATAGGGTGTGCTACCTACTAGGTAGGTACCCACAGCTAAAATGCATTCCACGAAGCAGATATGCCCTTGAAGAATGTATGGCAAATCGGTGGCACAGGGCTATGAGATCATCTTGATTCTCCGGCGGACTGAAATTATATCGAATCGCCTGTCCGGCCAAATTGATCTCATTCATCCAAGTTCCTGAGAACAAAATCAATCGTAAAAACAACATCCTTCGTGGTTTCAATGGTCGCCCAATCCTCCCTTGCATGGTTGCTGGTACTCATTTCACCCCCAAACTCCGTCTTCCAATCAGTGACATCCCATTCTAAACCCTGCGTGGTAATCACTGATGGCTCTTTTATTGGTAAAATCCCGATATGTTTTCCCAATTTTAACAATTTACCCTCTTCCTTGATCTTGATTTTATGTTTTCCAGCCTTGAGAACAAAAGTTATTGCTTCACTAGAAACTAGGTACATTTTGCCCTTAGAGTAATTTGGTTCTTGTTGGAACATATAAAGATGATGAAGTTGTGAAAGGGCTTGGTCAACTCTTCCACCCAAGCCGCCGAGGCAAATAATGTCGAGAGATTTGGGTAGCTGCTTCAGTTGATCCAACTTCTTCTGTCGATCAGGACATGGCGGGGTCCTTTCCGAGTCAACAGGTTGCTCAAAAGTTTTGATATATCGCACCGCTTTCGTAAAATCTGTGGAATATTGATCACCATCTCGAATAATTTCGGTGCCATTATTCTCAAAATACTTGAAAAGGCTGGAGGACATAGAATCGAAGTCGCCAATGATGGTATCAATATCAAGATAATTTTTAGCCTTCCTCTCATCTTGGAGAGCTGGGTCCAGAAAATCTCCATTGAAGGGTGTCTTATGATTCTTATCATACACTTGGTTTGCTCCACCGTCAGCTGCAATGTGATAGACAGCATTATCCCATAGCTTCTTGTAGATGTTACACGGAAGTTCTAGAGGCTGGTTTAAAGCAATCAGCGCGAATTCCTTGTGGTCGGCTGGATGATCAGAGAAAATATCAGCAGGATGCCAGGTGATAACTTGTTCAGACGCCATGGTCTTCAAGCCGTTTCGATTGTGTCTAGTGGGCTCCAAGGGAGAAGGATTGTAATGGTGTTGAGGCGAAGTCAGCGCTAACTGTCCGAGAAACTCAGAAAGTCCCAACAATGAAGGAGAAAAGGAATAGACTACATCCGACAGTCGAACTGACTTGATGGATTCATCGTGAGGGGCTATGGATTACTATGAAAAAGAAAAGAAAACATAGAAGTTAATTTTGCCTCTACAAATGAAGAACTCAAGTTGCGATCCATCTCTTATCTTATCTTCAATCACATGACATAATTCATTTATTTTCTAGAAATTCCATCGGATCAATTCGGCCATCAGAAAATCTAGAGATGGATGCTTACAAACACAACTTTCATATCTAGTGCCAATTTCTGAGATTCCCAATCTTTCGTTTATCGTTTTCATTTCATTTCATTTTCACAGTGTTTTGTTGAAAGATAGCTCAGTATGTATAAGTCAGTTCTACGAGCTGCGCCGAGATGCGCATCACCGCAAACCAAATCTGTCATCAATACCGCTTCTGCGAGACGATTTTTAAGTACAGCACCACCCTCACAGAAGTCCCGGAGTTGGAAAAGTAGTGCTGCGAGATGGGCAGTGGCAGGTGCAGGAATATACTGGTATAATACGAGCAATGTTTTCACGGACGAACCGGAAGGTATGAGAATATTGGCAGCTGGGGGGGGTTCTCAAGAAGGTGCTGATTGGCATTACAGCAATTCAAAAACTCGATGAATCAATACATAAAGTCCGAGAATCAGATTTACCCACCTTAGATGCAGTAGTTGAGGAAAAGCGAAAGCGACAAGCAGAAGCAGCGGCAGAACAGGAGAAGAAGGAACACGAGTTAGCCGCGAAAGAAGTTGCTGCAGAAGATGGAGCCGATGAGGAAGGGGGCATGGAAGGATTAGAGGATGAAGCTGGTCAACAAGGTGCATTCAATCCAGAAACTGGTGAGATCAATTGGGATTGTCCTTGTTTAGGAGGTATGGCACATGGGCCTTGTGGAGAAGAGTTCAAAGCCGCGTTCAGCTGTTTTGTTTACTCTAAAGAGGAGCCAAAGGGTGTCGAATGCATAGAAAAGTTCAAGTGAGTTTGAAGTTTTGAGATTTTCCTGGAGAGGCATGACTAATAAATATTCAGGGGAATGCAAGATTGCTTCCGAGCACACCCAGAGATGTATGCATCGGAATTGGAGGATGATGAGGCCGAGGTAGAGGAGGAACTTAGAGCAAGAGAGGCGGCAAATGGATCAGAGAAAGGTCCAGAGGAAGGTTCAGAATCATCAAAACCATCCACGCCAAAATCTTCGGTATCAAAGAAATCTGAAGAGAAATCCGGTGGGAAGTCCTCGGAGCCAATAACACCAACCACACAAAAACCTACCGAGTCGAAATCAAGCCCCAAAGAAGAGAAACATCGAGATAGCCAAAGCAGCACGGTACCAGAGCCTACACAAAATGCGGGGGATGAAGGGGGAGAATTAGTGCCAAGAGCTGCTCATGATGCTACTTCGAAAAAATAGGTCCCATAGACTGTAAATTTATTGTAACTTACTAAATGTAATAAAAGACAAAAGCGTCGAAGCATTCTCCACAGTATACAATCACGCATTTTATGAGAATTGGAATTTTGATTCATTGTCCTCCGGACTTGGACATTCTTGATCACAAGAACCGCAAGTGGTGTATCTCAAGTTCTGGTGTGTTTAAAGTCTAATTTTGTAAAGGTATATGTTGTATAGGTTACAGAAATAGCAATCGCTATCATTGATAAATTGTCAACAACTTATTGTAGTGGCGTATGAGGTTATTGGTAATATCTGTGCCACTCGGATGATCTAGAATTCCATCTCATTGAGCCGCCTACGTCAACAAATGGAATCTCTTCTCTTCTCTTTAAGCGAAAGATCCAGCCTCAGCCATGGCTTCAGCCACACCCGACCTTATTGAATTCTTCCCGGTTTCTCACATATTGGATTTACTTGTTCACACACACCTTTTATCGTTCATCCATTCTATTCGATCAATTCCTCATCACTCACAATTATCCTTTCGATAAATCATCGACGAAACATTGACACTCACAAGTCCTATACCAAAATATCTTCTCCATCCTCACATATCAAATCTTATAAGATGTCATACGCACAAGCAGCAGCTTCAGGTCCACAACAGACTGATGAGGAGGTATGTTTACAATTCCCCTTGGCTCTGTTTACTTGTTATTCTCTTACCAGTGTCTCCTTTCTCATTATCGTCAAAGGAATCTTTTCTACCTCGGAGGATGTTTACTACCCATTCAGGTCAAGAACTAATCATCCCACCACAGAAACGTGCCCCTGCCCCGCCATCTGTCGTCCCCACCGAAAGCGCCTCCACCTCTTCCTTAATTGACGTCGACACCGATTCCGTGCATACTGTTCCTTCAGACTTTCAGTCACAACCAGTTCAAACCGAGACACAAGCTAATCGCCTCGAGCAAGAGGCTGAAGAAATCGAAGCCAAGATCCGCGCTGCAAAGGATGCATCTGCCAAAAAATCAAAGAAGGGCAAGAGCCGTGTCCAAGAGAACAGCGATAACCCAGTAGTCATTGGAAATGCAATTGCTGTTGCGGCATTGAGCACTGGTTTAGGATTTGGAGCATATCAAAAGTACGCAAAGGGAGAATTGACATGGAAGGTTGTCGGTGCGTGGGCTGGTGTGGTGGGTGTTTTGGCTGTTGGAGATTATTACCTGAGCTCGTACCTTTTCAAGACCAAGTACCCAGCCAAGAAGTAAATGGAGAGGGTGAATAATTCACGGTTATGGTTTGGGAGGGAAAATGACATTCACGGGATCACAACTTTTAGGGGTGGTCATTAGGCGTGGGGTGGTTGGTTTACAAATTTTGCGACATGAAGATACTCTGTATTTAGCACTGTTACTGCGACTGCGAAAGTCTCCCCTCTTTGCGCTGCTTGGAAACGATATCAATGCATTTTTGCAGTCCATCTTGGTGGAATGACGGACCTATTCACAGACTAAGGCTTTCACTCTAATAAAGGACAATTTGCGATTGTGTTTTCTTGATTAGTGAGGATCTTTCATACTGCTCTGGAACAAGCGGTATCTGAACAAAGCTACCTTTACTACTCACCAAATCCTGTTCCAGAATATATCATCGAAGGTCAAATCCCGCTGAGATGGTGTAATTGCTACATACTTTTCATGGAATGAGGCAGGCTAGGCCCTCCGCTGTATTTGCCTCAATTTAACCATGAAGGCTAGTGTAGATGAAATACAAAATACGTGTACACGCAAATATAGCTAGCACTACAACTGACTTATTAAAGGAAAGGTTATCTTATTTTTCTCATACATCCAGTGCTCTGAACTGCAAATAAATGCCATACTCATCACATTCTCTGCCACACCTCTTTCTGCCCAATGCGCTTCCAAAAAATGACCTTTATACACACTTCCCTTTAAATTCCCATCCTACTCACCGACATCCACCCAGCCTCCGTTTCCTTACTCCTAAAGATACCCCAGAACTTTCCAATATCCTCGCAAGTCCTATCACCAGCTTCATGCTCATGAAATGAACATACCTTCTCCTCATAAAACTTTGTTCTAACATCTTTCCACCCTTCCGCCCCTCTCAATATTCCAACCGCACTGCGATACAAAGACGGAAATCTCAGTCCTAACTCAGTCAAACTCTCCTCGGAGATAGTATTACCAGCCGTCGACGATACCCCATCTGGAAAAAGCAGCATAATAGCATACCATCTCGCCATCCACCTTCTCAGTCCACAATCCCGATCCTTGGGTGCCACGGGTTCCGTCAACTCAAACGCCAACTCAATTGCAAAAACATTCGGCGTGAACCTCTTCTCCACATATCTTCTTCCCAGTCCAGATAATACTTTATCCATCATTTCCGACATTCCCAAATGATGCGCCAAGGCGTAAACCTCGATGGCTGCACAGCTAGGTTTATTTCCTTCTTTCTCGAATCCCGTGTCGAGAGTTCCGCGATACAGCCATTTCATTATGATGGAGAAATGTTCCGCGCTCATCTTGGGTAGATAGTGGTCTTCTTTTTCCTCGCTGAGTTCATCGTTGTTGAGGAAGATATCTGCGAAGAAGGGGGATTTGGCGCAGAGGAGTCCACGGTGGATACTGAATTTTTTGCGTTTGGGACCTATGTAGAGATCTATTATGGGACTGTCGAGCATGCTGTTGAAATTCTCTTAGCTTTACTTTGGTTCTTAATGTATAAAACAATATTTGTATATCAGATTGTTGAAGATTGTTAAGAGAACCTACTCTTCATAAGATGGCTTTGCCTTCGTAATCTTGACCGTTGACATTCTTTTCTTTGCTGACTGGGATTGTAGATGGTGAGCCATTTTAGCATTATTGGCAAAGTTTTTGTTAAAAGATTCGTTCTAGATGCTAGGAGTTATATCGTTGGAGTTGTGTAGAAAAGGGGATGGATGATGAGCCTTGTACGCGTTGATGTAGCTGGAGACGCGTCGTCCCGTGCCGAGGTGTTTGTGATTAACTTTGTAACTGTCTGATCTGATGTTCTCATGTCATCATCACTATTACATGGAAGATGCGTAGTGAGTATGGGAATACCTACTCAGAAAGATCTCTTTTTAATAGCGGGTCCAAGAGCAGGTCAAATGCATTGTAAATAAAACCCGGCTTTTAGACTTTCATGTAGCCAAGTGAATAGATGTCGACCTATTTCTCGAAAGTTTGTAGCATTTTAAGAGAACTTTCTCAGCTTGTAACTCAGTGAATCGTCGACGACCATACGAGAAAGCTAGGCCAAATCACTATATGGGCGTGCACATGAAGCCATCACAATCAGACCCCTAGAATTTCCCACTTGGTAGACATGATCCAACATATTTCTCTGCCAATCTTCGTCATACTCATGTCTGAAGCTCTGTTCTCTCGCAGCCATCTCTGGGTGTTTGGGCAGAATATCTGGCCGTTGAGGGAATAGCTGGTAATTAGAGATTCAAAATTCATAGTTTTCCCCAAAAGGAACTGAATTAATTGGTAACCTTATCTTTCGAGTATGTAGCTTTGCGGTGTCTGGTTATAGGAGATTCTGTCTAGTGTTATTTAGGTGTCATAATAGTAGATTGAGTCGATAACCGAAGTCTTAACTTGAAAACAAAGAGTGGTGGAGGTGGTCTTAGGCTTGTAAAGAAGCTCATCCGCCAAACACAGATTGCGTCATGGCTCTGCTCAACTCTCATATTCAGTTGTTCTTACACCTAATCCAAATATTCTTATTCTCATCGTACTTTTCCATGAATATTTTATACGAATTATAGTTCACTGGAAAAGATTTGAATTATGGACTATGGAGATGAATGATGAATCCAATGTTTTCGTTCACCTACCAATGCATAGCAACTGATAACAGCCCACAATTAGCCCCTAATTTACCCCATGCAGCCACGATATACTGACGACATTGATTCCCCTCTTTCCCCGACCTCGCTCTTTCCCAGGAATGTTGTAACCTTATTACTCCGTATGTCTTATTTATCTACCTCTTTCTATACGCTTGCCTTGCTTGGTAACTTCTTTATCTAGTCTCTAGCTAAAATCGCCTGTAATCCATGCGCATCCATTTCCCACTCATCACGTATCATCCATCATTGATGATTGCTCGCTATCAAAGCTTGGATTCATTATCAACACACTATAGCAACATGCTCTCTGCCAAAGGGAAAACCAACCGACCCAAAACTTAAGGAAGACATTACTAAAAGTAAAGAAATTTCTTATCTTTTTCCTCTTCAATCCCCTTTGAAATCTCCTTTGCCTCTGATTGTCAGCGATCCGTTCTTAACAGCAGACAAAACAGAAGTCAAACAACAACCCAATAAAAATGGTAGCGGTAAAGGAAAGATGGCTGCATGGAAGGTAAGTCATTTGATTCCATAGCATTCAAATTCTAGGTGTCCTTTTTCGTCTCTATTTCTACTTAGATAGCTTTTTTACTTACCATATCCTACTTCTCAGGCCAGCAAAATAGCAAAAGAATACGAAGCTGAAGGAGGTGACTATGAGAACGAACCTGGCTCTAAAGACAAACCCAAGAAAGGTCCACCCGAGAAAAAGTCGGAAGAGGAAAAAGCTTCTGAATTGAAAGAAGTCGAGAAGGAAAAGGAGGAGGATGCCAAAGAAACCGCTAGTGATGAGCCCAATGGAGCAGATGATAAGACACGGGATACAGAAGTCAAGGACGAACCAACCGTCGAAAAAAGAGGCCCAGGTAGACCCAAGAACGCGGGAAGCCCAGCTGGTCCAAAGAAGGGCCCGAAGCCGAAGAAGGAACCAAGACAGGGAACGAGGAGTAGTGCTCGACAACAAGAAAAGTCACAAGAATCTACTGTAGGGACGAAGATAGATGCTAATAAGGAGGAGGAACAAAAGGCTACTTTAGAAAAAAGAAAGAACGTTAGCGACGAACCAACTGATGAGAATGACGAAGAGGAGGAGAGCGAACAAAAGCCTGCGAAGAAATCCAAAAACGGGGAACTAAAGGAAGTAGAAGAAGAGAAAGAAAAGTCAGGACCTAAGAAGGCTGGTAGAAAAGCTAAAAAGTGAAAGTATCACTTTGCCTTCATTCTCATCCTACGAAATTGGTTGAAGGGAATATCATTGGCGCATGGGGAACCGCACGAATACATACATTATCATCGGATTGGAATAAAATGGGATGAATTTACGAATCTGTATTTTCGAGCGTTTGTTTAACATTCCACTTTATCTCTCTGGGACTTTGCCTTGGAAAGCATTCTTTCTTTATTGTATACAAGGAAGCATTTATCATTGTTATTGGTACACTTTCGCTGCAGTGGCAGTTATTCAAAAATGGACATTGCCCCTTTATCATCAACGTTTAGCTCTTTAGCGCCTTTTTTTATTCTCAATCTGTGCTAGAACTTATTTCTCTGTCAACGGTGGCTAGTCGCGATATTTATGACATTACGATTCTTGAATCGAAGTTTGAATTATACAGGTCGCCTATGTTCCTATATTTAAATCCCTTCGTCTCTTTCATTAGCTCTTCATCGTCCATACCCTATCGCCCACGGGAACCATCTCCCCCTTCACCCACGCATTCCTCTCCTTTTTCCCTTCCACTCTTCCTCTCCCCTTCCACTCTTCCTCTCCCCTTCCACTCTTACTCTTCCCTTCCACTCTCTAATCTCCCCTCCCTCCTTTCCCTCTTTCCCCCTTCCCGCTTTCCTCCCACTCTCCTCTTCCGCCTTCCACTTCCCATCCAGTTCACCTCCCCTCCTTCTACCCACCTTCCCTAATTACTTTATGACCCGTTCTAATTATTCCTTCCCCATCGAATCATCAACCAATAACCATAACAGGTCGCTTAGCTCAGTTGGTTAGAGCGTGGTGCTAATATCTTCTCTGATAAATTTGGAAAGATTGTAACGCCAAGGTCGCGAGTTCGACCCTCGTAGTGATCAAATTAACCTTTTGCCTCATTCCGCTGCATCAGGAAGTTCATTTTGAATCCAAAATAGTCGAATATAATCAAGAATTGAGGAAGTTCTTGGGGGTTGTGTTTTATGGGGTGGAGGTGGGGTGAATCTTAAATATTTTTCTATTACCCCATCAAAAATTTAGAGCCATTACGAAAACTATTATTTATTTGCTAATACAATATCCATTCCCCTTTAGGAGTGATAAAAATCTTTCACTTCACTCTGCTTGAAATAAATAAACAAGTGAGCAAAAAAAGTAGTAAAACTAAATGGTGGATAGAAGTCTAAAGTTCAAGGAAGGAGATAGCAAAAATAAAAATAAAACGACATGTGCAGGATTTGAACCTACGAGGCCGAAACCATAAGATAACCGAATTATTCATTCAAGTCTTACCCATTAACCACTCTGGCAACATGCCCGAATATCTAAATCGTGTTTGCATAATTTGATAAAAGTTAATATCGTATTTTGAATTTATATACGAAAAGGAAATCTAAGAGCGTGTTTCTCTTTTCCCACCTGATCCACTCCACGAATCCGCTGGAGTGGAGAAATTTCCACTTACGGGAGGATACTCTGTACTCCTATCATCAATTACTTTCCGTACTGGAAATTGCAAAAAAAGGAAATGATCATTGTCGAAGGTGGTATGCTCAAAGACTCATTATGTTTGTGGGATGCTACAGGTTGGGCAGGAAGGCGAAGTTCGGATGTTCAGAGGTCGAGTGGGTGGTAGGTAGGTATATTTTGATATTGTAGGATGCAGTAGAGGGGAAGCTGGTGATGATTTCATGGGGTAGCTTATTGTATTTATGTTGATGACATCTTGCTGTGGGATATATTATTAAAGAAACTTTAGAGGTTTTTGTATCATTTAACGAGGAATTATGTGCCTTGACTTGTCTTTTCTAGCAGAGGGCCTCTGTACTCCTTGCTCTGCAGTCTTCTTCTTTAGTTTTATTGTCATATCTGAGGAAGGACTAGGATAGATATGTCAACTTCAATATGATGATAGACGTCGATAAGTAACTATGCCTTACTTTTAGAATATAGGCATCAGCGAAGTTTGAAAGAAATTCCTTTTCAAATAATCATCCTATCCTCTCATCTCGAAAGCTAGATTCAACTCGGACAAGATACATACATATCGCCAGCCACAGCTGTTGATTCTAGTATCAGGGCATAAGAAAAACATCGAGAACACTGCCATTATGTCGACTGTCAGCATAGAACTTGAAATACCCATCTGCTGAAGCACAGATGCAACTCCGATGGACTACTAGCGAATCCTGGGAAGGAAGAATTCACCCTTGCTATCGTGGGAAAGGTGAGAGCGGAGGTACTTCTTGAATAGAGCGTGGATCGTAGATTCGAGTGTCAAAGCATCGTGAGGATATCGATATGAGTCGTCAACTAACAACCACCCACCGATGAAAATAGCAACCTAAATGGCTGCATCACAAACTGAAATGGTACAATGGAAGCTCAGCCTTACAATGCCTAGATCGCGAGAACCTTCTTCTAGATATACCGAGATGAGTAATTTCTGATGACTGAAATTTAAACGGCGATAGTGACTTTAGAAGCTGGCAGTTTGAAGGCTTTGCTATTTGCTAACTGAAGCTGGAGGCAATTCTCCATAGAAGAGGCTCTGAATAGTAACTTGCAATTTCATGACAGATCTCGAGCGGCAGTTTTATTTGTATATATATATATGGACTTGACGACTTCTGACTACACATATTAATCTGCAATCAGCTTGCAGATCTTGATTATCATTCTTGTGTCCACAGTTACAATGTTTCCCATCTTAACTTTGGGGAGACTAGTCAACAATGAATTAAAATCCCAACGTGCGCTATGTTCGGACATCCACGGATACGACATAAAGCTTGCGAGCTTAATATAAGGTGAATCTAAGGCTTTGCAAGGGAGGAGCAATCCTTACGTGTCAATGTTGTTGGCGGCGGTATAAGGCATTTCTCTCACCGAGAGGTAACGATATAGACGCCATTCTTCTATTTCACCGTTTATTTTAAATGTAGCACATTTGAAGTTGTGACCTTGACGAGGATATTTGAACGGCTGTATTAAGCTACCATCTTTCGCATCTCTTAATCCTGTCATCTGTCGGAATACTACTTCCTATCGAGAGACAGAGCATGCTATCACAAGCTCGCTTTCCTGTCCGATATCAACACAAGAGGCAGAATCACTCGTGCAGCTTGATATGACACAACACGATTGGGGCGGATAAGGAAATGTTGTTGAAGTCGGACGTCCTTGATACCCGAATAGAGGGGAGGCCTGCGTCGTTGACTGCGCGTTTTCTCCCAATTACTTTGACTTCAATAATTGATAACTTTACAACTACTGATGCTAGAACCTTGAAAGTTTCAAAAGGATAAATTAAATGGATAGTAATTGTAACAACAGAATTTAAAATATCTTATTTCATATAATTTTAAAAATTCGCTCCGATTTATGTTGAAGATTATATGAGATAAAATCCGAATATAAAATCCGAATTTATTAACAACTTTTTAAGGTTATTTGAAATTGAAACCTGTTATGAATTGCCATTTGGAGCATGGAGAATTAAGAAGTCGCTAATTGAACGATGAAGATTTGACTGACTTCATAAAGAACCTGAAAACGCTGACGCACGATAATTCTGTGGTATTGATTGAAATCTCATTTACTTAAGATATGATTTATATATGCTTTAGGTTTGCTATAGAAGAAATTTATTCTGTGAATAAGGTAATTCGGGTTGACTGATTCCCTTGATAATATTGCGCAAGAAGTACGGAGAGGCGGGATATTAATAGCTTCAGTCGCCGGTACGTTTAGGAGAATGGTTTTGGAGTGAGGTTAGAAAGATGCTGGCAAACATTGGCATTTCAGTATGTTGAAAATGAAAAACCAGAAATATTGCACGCTCTACGTATACTTCTCTTCTGCGGGAGTAAGGATCTGCCATTCTTCTAAGACGTTGATCATGAGCTTAATTGAGATGATCCTTTTCCACAAATGTAAGATCTTACTTTTGAGATCAACGAAATGGTGGAATCTCGCCACTGTCGCATGAGACTCAAATGAATACTCGAATAGATCCTAGATGTTTCTGGCAAGATATAAAATATGTATGTGAGTATTGAAACTTGAAAGAGTTTCCATAACCAGCTTTATAAAAACGTTGGAGATGCGAGCGATGTCAATTACCCCGCAACTCAAATCCCATTAGCTAGCCTTACGCACACATCCTCAATTTCTTATCTTTCCCTCCGGCAAACGATATCCGTATATCTAAGACATCAAATACAAAATGACCTGTAAATCCTTCCAATTTACATACCACGTTCTCAATATTCACTTCATGACGTAAGTTTGATGTTCACTGTAGAATAATTGATCTTGGCTCTATGTATAGTGACGTCTACTTGATTCGCTGAGCCTTCTGATATTTACAGCCAGCCTTGAGACATAAGATGAAGACAAAGTTTATATTTAAGTCGTAGAAATTCTAGAAGAACTTTAAAACAACTTTTAGGTAGAGGTTTAGAAATTTGAATGTCACCATGACAGCACACGACTATTACAGTCATTCTCCGCAAACAGTACCAGGTCCAGGTGCATTAAAACCAACTACTGGATATCCTACTTCCACATACCATCAACAACCACAATCTAATATTCCAGGAAATCATGGATCAGAAGATCCACCACCTTCTCTTTATAATTCACAGGGCTATTCCTCTCAACAACCATATTACCAGCCTCCACAAGAAATCGCTGAGTACAATCACCAACCTCAACATTACAATTATCAAACTTTCAACCAACCACCTTATCATGGCGATGAACATCATCAATACCCCGCCGTAGAACCTCGATCGTCTCATCACCTCCCACCTCATCTTCGCCCTCGTCGTTCAATATCGGAACCACCCGATTCACGATACCTTGCCCATCATATACCGGGCTATCATCAGCGAGGACGTTCAAGATCTCCCTCGTATCATTCTTCACCTGAAGGATCACCATCACGATCCAGGAATCGTGCTCATTCACATTCTCGAGCCCAGTCTACTAGATCACTGAGTCGACCTCGACATAGGCACTCACATTCACATTCACGTTCCCGACACTCACGACCATCAAGAGATCGAGCTCGACATGACCACAAAGATAGAAATGCATTTTTAGGAGCAATTAGCGGAGGAGCAATTGGTGATTTGATAATGCCTGGATTAGGAACATTAGGAGGAGCATTATTGGGAGGGGTTGGAGGAAGGGAAGTTAGTAGAAATGGACGAAAGAATGAAAAGACTGGGAGAAAAGAAGGTAGGAGAATATTTGGAGGGTCAAGGAAAACTTATGATCAGGAATGGAGGGAGGGAAGGATTGAGAGGGGTGAAATAAGTGAGTAATATTGTTAATGGGAATGAAAGGGGGAAATAAATTATCTGTATAAATGGTTTAAGAGCTTTTGTAAGAATTCTGAAATTTACTCATTGCACACTATAATATTTTGTAACAAAATCCCTGCAAAAACTATAATTTAATATATAAAATAAAATGTTACGAGGTTTGCCGTCTAGATCACGTGGAAGTGCTCTAGACTCTCGAGGTGATTTATAACTAGATGTTAAGCAAAGACTTAAGTAATGACAATGATGATATGCAATTCGTAAGTAATAGTAGAGTATACTAAATGATTGATCTTGAGCACGAAGCTCTATACAAAGGAAATCCATCTTGATTATATAGACCTTCATGCCGATAGCTACTCAGTAGGATCAATGCGGCTCAGTACTGAGCTCACTGATCCTCACTGAGCCAGTCACGTGATATTGATTGCACGTGAGAGTTTCCTGTTACTCGGCGTAACATAAAATATCAAACAACTTTTTGAATATTATATCAAATCAATTAAATTATTCAGATACAAATCATTTAAAGTGTTACGACGGTATTCAGTTATGACTAAAACCCGTATTACATGACTAAACAAGGGGTCACGTGGTCCCACTCGTCCCACCGATTTAAATCGAGGGGAACGGTGGGAAGGCCTCCCACCGATCCCACTGATTTATATCGAGGGAAACGGTGGGACATACGGCACGAAGGTCTATATAATCAAGATGGATTTCCTTTGTATAGAGCTTCGTGCTCAAGATCAATCATTTAGTATACTCTACTATTACTTACGAATTGTATATCATCATTGTCATTACTTAAATCTTTGCTTAACATCTAATTATAAATCACCTCGAGAGTCTAGAGCACTTCCACGTGATCTAGACGGCAAACCTCGTAACAGGGAACTAGCATTAGAAGGGCTCGCTTAGCCCAAAACCCGCCCCTTCATTTTCCACCCCACCACCACACTTAACCAACTAATACCCACCTAAGGTTCCACCCGCACACAATGTAACAATTTTAAAATTGGATTGTACGATTATATCTTGAATGAGTCTCATCTCCAATAACCAGAAAGCAAACCCAAAACTGCATCCGTCAAAAATCACAAATCACCTCGATTAAATTCTCTTCTTTCCAAACAAGCCCAAATTTCAAAACACAATATCTCCATCAGTTCGTGACTATTTTGAATTATTTTAGATGCAAAAGAAGCGCAAAAAGCTGATTGATCACTACGAGGGTCGAACTCGCGACCTTGGCGTTGTAATCTCACTGAACTTATCAGAGAAGATATTAGCACCACGCTCTAACCAACTGAGCTAAGCGACCTATTATGGTTATTCGATATAAGGCAAGCACGAGTTTGTATCTATATTCACATCACTGCCGTATTCGTAATAAATGCGGCTCCAAAATAGTCCGTGCATTATTCTTTGAATAATAAAAGTTGTCACGAATTGTGGTTCGGATTATGGTAGTATTATAGATGTCGGTGATTTAGCTGCCGAATACAGGGGGAATGTGATTTAACCGCGGTTTATGGGGGGTTCCTTATCGATAAGGAGCTTAGGAATCCTAGGACAAACGATTAGGCAACCACAATAGTATAGGACAAGTGTCCTAGGATGATAATTGTCCCAGGAGGCGAATCGTCCCAGGATTAGTGTCCTGAGGCAAATAGAGATCACGTGATGGATAGACTGGATAGACCAGTCTATCCAGGCTATCCAATAGTATTCAGAAGTATATAATTATAATAGTTTCATAATATAGAAGCTTTGTGCTCAATTTAGTTATCAATTAGTTTACCCATATTCTACTTGATCTAGTAACAACTTCACTTCCAAATAAATACCAGTGATAAAGCCTTAACCACAATGTTACAACGGCTATCTTCTATGCCGCGTCACATGACTAAATCAAGGTAACGTGATTAAAGTCACGTTATGGACCGCTGAGGAACGCTGGCTGTCCAGGACCGCGCAGCGGTCCTGACTAGCCATAGGCATGAAGGTCTATATAATCAAGATGGATTCCCTTTGTATAGAGCTTCGTGCTCAAGATCAATCATTTAGTATACTCTACTATTAGTTACGAATTGCATATCATTATTGTCCTTACTTAAGTCCCTGCTTGACGCCTAGTTATAAACCACCTCGAGAGCCTGGAGCACTTCCACGTGATCTAGACGGCAAACCTCGTAACACACAACTACCAACGAACGAATCTTAGATAGCCGCTACCTCCAATACAGTATCGTTACATAAGGCTTTATTATTGGTATTCACTTGAAAGTGAATGTAACGATACTGTACTGGAGGCAGCGGCTATCTAAGGTTCGTCCGTTGATAGTTGTGGTTAAGGCTTTATCACTGGTATTTATTTGGAAGTGAAGTCGTTACTAGATCAAGTAGAATATAGATAAACTAATTGATAATTAAGTTGAGTATCAGACTCTTATTTTATAAAACTATTCTGACTATATACTAAAACGTTTCCCGAATGCTAGCTGTATTAGCTGGTTAGTGTTACGAGGTTTGCCGTCTAGATCACGTGGAAGTGCTCTAGGCTCTCGAGGTGGTTTATAACTAGGCGTCAAGCAGGGACTTAAAGTAATGACAATAATGCAATTCGTAAGTAATAGTAGAGTATACTAAATGATTGATCTTGAGCACGAAGCTCTATACAAAGGAAACCATCCTGATTATATAGACCTTCGTCCTCCATTGGATCTCTTGGATCCTGAGAGTTTGTGGACCTTCGATTCGTATGGACCTACGATTCGTATCCCTGAATATGCAGGGTTCATCACGTGACTTGGATCAGACTATATGTCTGTGCTTGCTGAAGGTGGGGAGACTCTACGAACCAATTACCATACAATTTTGTATGTGAATCGGTTTGCTTTTCCACGGGGTCTGAGCTCATATGGACAGGTTGACTGTTACTACGTAACAGTTAGCAGAGCTATTACATCACGTGATCCTTATCTGCCTCAGGACACTAATCCTGGGACGATTTGTCTCCTAGGATAATTTAGCTCCTAGGACACTTGCTCTGTACCATTGTGGTTGCCTAAACGTTTATCCTAGGATTCCTAGGTTCCTTATCGCAGGCGATAAGGAACCCCTGGGTAATCGGCGGCCTAAATACCGATACATGATTTTATCGCGTAATCTCATTCATGGTTCGTGACATAGACTTAGTTTCATTCGTACAATAATGATAAATCAATCTCCTTCACACATACAATATAGAATCATTCAGCGATGGCACGTCGCATGTCTACCTAATCCAGCTCAATATTGATTCGAATTTTTTAAAACAGTATTAAGAGGCTGGAAAAGCAGCAAATAAGTCATAAATATCGGGAGATACTTTGTAGCCTCGTCAACCATCATTTTCCAAAATGCAAATATTTGCGGCAGTTTTCTTTACCTTTCGTTCTTCTATTTTATTTCCTGCTGTGACATTTGCGAATCATGACTGGTCATACTTTACTCTCCGATTTTTCATCATTTCACTATCCCTTGGGCTTGATAACATTCCTATAATATTGTTGAATCGAGGAAGGCTATCGGCTGAATTTTACGGTTTATTGCATTGTCTTTCTATACAATTAAGCTTTATCCTTCAGGTGTACACCCACTTTGCTTTTTGCATTTGCTCTCATCTTGCCCGACTGACTGCATGCTAGGACACGGATTTTTTGCTGTTAAATAGAACAGCTGGATGGCTCAAGCATCAGTGCTATCTTTGTGCTGATATGATGCAGTGTGTGATTTTGTTCTCAAGCATTTCACTTTATCGGATGGCACGACATTGGCCGCTCCTTCATCATCCCGCGACGGCCATGATGTGGACCACTAGAAGAGGTAGCATGAATTTGATGCCAATCTTGCCCGATGTTACAATGACGGGGAAGAAAATGAAAATGAGAAGACAATGAAGACACAATGTAATGCAACATCAAGATGTAGTTCATCACAATAATGATATGACCATATTAACTCACACATAGAATGTTATCGTTCTTTCTTTGACATCAGATAGCATCCATACGACCCTCTGCTTGTTTATCACTATCTAGACATTATATGACATAACATTTCGGAATGAGTTGGATCAAAACCTCTGCTTCTAGAAGGCTCTGGGAAGATGCTCAGGCAAGCCTAGAGTATTCCTCCACTCGATTTTGGGAATACATGTTCAAAGAAGTCTTATTCAATGGTCCCTATTGGCATAATCCTTCTCAACAAGCATACACTCCTAGAACTGGAGAACGTCGGCGATGTGACAGTTTTATTGAACGATATGACAATTTGGAAAAAAAATGGGAAACGATCATGTTTCATGAAGCAAAGCTTGACTCGGCTTCTGCAGCGGAAATCACTTTGTGCGAAAAGCAAGTATACAATGCTTGCGCCGCATTTCTTGATTATTTCCCAGAAAGAGACAGCGTATTTGCTTTGACAACTTGGGGAACAAAAGGTCGGTTGTGGGTAGTCAATCGAGGCACTAAACACCTAATTCCACGGTTCCTAGGTCCAGAAGTTTTTAGCGCTCACTATATTGAGGCTAGTAGCACTGCTGCGATGTACTTGAAAAAGTCACTGAGGTCTCTCCATAACTGGAAAGATTCGAGCTCAGATACAAAAGCCCGAGATAGAGCTAGAACAGAAGGAGGAGAGACAGAAGGAGAATGGCCAGAAGGAGAATGGCCAGGAGGAGGATGGCTAGAAGGAGCTAGATCAATAGGAGCTAGATCAGAAGGAGCAGGACCAGAAGGAGTTGAGCCAGGAGGGGCTGGGCCATGTAGACCAGCTACATCCTACCAGGGACAAGGCAGTAGAGAGTCTACTGTGGACTACAGCCAGAAGACAAACTCATCGGTTGGTCAAGTTGCACCGGCTTTCGTAGGCACATGGTATTATGAAGAAAAGAAGAATCATGTGTATTACAAATTCCGTATTCCAGATTCTGGCAAGGAAATCAAGACTAAGGCAAGTCAGTGGAAAGCCGCCTATCAAGAGGGAATACCATGTTTAATGTACACCAGAGAAGAAACAGGGCGACAATATTACGTGTGGGAGCTGGGAGCTACTAAGGCACCAATTACAAGGGGATATAGGTAGTAAATCTACTTTAGAAGTTTCATTTCAGGTCGTTCAATTCATTCAATTCTGTTGTTTTTAATCATCACAATATAAACAATATAAACAATATAAACAATATAAACAATATAAACAATATAAACAATATAAACAATATAAACAATATAAACAATATAAACAATATAAACAATATAAACAATATAAACAATATAAATAATATAAATAATATAAATAATATAAATAAAACTTTAAATAAAATTACCTCAAAACTTCTTTAACTCGGAATATTTAATAAAGATCAATAGCTAGACTTTAAAATATTCAAATCCCAATACTGTTTTACTCTCATATCGGGATATCTGAAAATCCGACATCACTTGACCTATGAATCACTTGGAATTTTAAATCATTCATTAATCAGAACTCTGAATCTTCAATCAATGACTTGTTTAAAAGGTTTTAGCGTTGTACTTTTGTATCACGGTCACAACAACTAACAATGATCCTCGCGAGCTTTAGATTGTTTCTCCACTTTATCTACCTCCCCTACACAACTCGTCCATAATTCAACATCCATCAAAAGACGGAATGCATTTATATTTGAAGCCCTGTTTGACATGTGAAATTTGTCGTCGCTCCATAATTGAGGATGAAGATCAGGTACTGGCTTGTAAGTTTATCAGATTAGTTCCAATGTAACCATTAATAATTCTAACCTGAATCAAGTATTGAGAGGTCCAAAATCCTACTATGGGTATACAAATGCGATAACAGTACCTCCCATACCATTAAACAGGGTGCCGAATCCTTTGTGTACGGTGTATTCAATCGATTCACAAGTTACTTCATGGCTTATCTACCGCGACTTACAATGCTCATCTTGTCAGAACTCGCCAGAATCAAGTGTTTACCATATCACCTGCCTCAGTACTATATCGAAGCATATCTATCAAGTTGAGCCAAGAAAGATTTTCAAAAGAATCAGCTATACCTCCTTGTTTTTAGGGCTTGGCCACGAGCTGGAATGGATTATTACCACGTACGAGAACCTCGAATGACTTTCCCTTCTACCTTGAGTAATGCGATAAAAGATTCCAACTCAGAAACCGGAGGTTTACTAATTAAAGTATCCCGACTCCCACAAGAAATTATTGATATGATTGAATAATTTTGTCCAGGCAGCGAATTATGGAGGATATGGTCTTCTCTTGCATGGTCAAAAGCATTCTATATGGGGGAACTTGCAGGCCGTCGCCTCTGTGAACCAGGGAACTGGCAGCGTGGAGATCAACCATCTAGCACAATTATTCCTAAGAGGTTTGTTCTTCTTGCTATGGATAATCAGGGGCTTGTGGAAGCGAAGTTTTTTAGGCTGTGGCCGGTCAGTCAAAAGAGCATTGAAGGTTGGTGGTATACCTGTTTGGATACCACTAAAGCTGAAGTTAGGTCTATTCGAGCTATACTTAAGGTAACGGACGTTACGAATCATAATTCCAAGAACTGTATTTGAAAATAAACTAACACAATTTTAGGGAGTCGCATATATCTGAATCGACGTCCTAAAAATCTTGCTCTTTGGGATACACCTAATATACCCGACCCAAAATTTTACTTCTCTGCTGGGTCAGAGTTTACATCTTGCCGCACTCGAACAATTTCTCTGAATGGGCTTATAGGCCTGACATTTTTCATGTTTCATTCAGCAGCCATTGCAATACATCCACATTTCGAAGATAGCTCATATTCAGTCTTACAAACTTACTACAGTATTCCAACTAACTTTAGAAGATGTACTGTCTGGGTCTATATTCCATTAAAAAATTGTTACATCCGATCTTTACATGTGCATACCAGTCACCTGATTGGTATAAAGTCTAGTACTAGTGTAGTGGTAAGATAATGTTACATCCTATTTTACTATCACTAATGATAATGATAGTTGCAAACCAATAAGAACCAAATCCATCTTACTGGTACTTATCCACTTAACATTAAACTTTCAAAAAAGCTCAAATATCAATCATCGGCGTTGAGCCTTCCATACTAATGTATAATGATCCTTCGCCTCACTGTCCAATTGAACATTTCGGCTCACTTGCATCTCAAAAAGACAGCTCAATACCCACTCCTACTCGTTTCGATTTCCAATCAGCCCGGTATCATTATTCGATGGCATTTCTTAAGAATGTACGAGCTGTTTCTAATTTTTGCGATAACGCCGATGGTCGCTGTAGAGGTATTCTAATTCTCTATCATAACGATGATCAACAGGTTCTTGGTCAGTGTCGCCATGACTTGACTCGAGAAGATTTTGGTATTTCGTTGTACGGCCTCCACTGGCAACAGTTTATAGTAGCTCATACGTCGTATGTTAAAGTCGCTTTCTCACAGAATAAACAAGAAATCGATATTTTACGTGATAAAGGGTATGAAACAGCTTTAGGTGGGGAAGTAGTATGGTTGTTCGATTATGAGCGGGATGATATATCCAAAATGTAATGGAGTCTTGATGGAAGTAGTAGTACTAGTGTATGGGAAGAAAAAGGTTAGGCTGAAGGCACGAAGATGAGGCTTCAGGAGGCTAGACCCGAGTCAATGGAATGCGGCTAAGCTTTATGAGAGGATGTATGAGGAGAGGTATGAGGAGCTGTGGGAGGATATCGGACTCACTCGTTGCGAGACACTAAAACCAGCGAAGGCATCGAAGTGGATAGTTGCTTGCTGCAGTGTATTAAGATTCAGTTGATCAGGGCTATGAAATCAGGATTACTTTATTGGTATGTTAAAGCCCATCCAGTAGCAAGAGACTGGGGTTGATATCGTGTGTATTCTGATCTAGTCACCAGATACCATGATCGGAAGACTGCCGTTTATATATGCATATTCTCATCATTTGGTGTGAACCAACTATTCGCGTTGCAATATTGCGTTGTATTATATATATATATATATATATATATTTGAATACTTCATATGGGGCTGTTGGACTGAAATAAATACGCATATGGGTGGTCGGTAATAGGTGGTGGTGGTGGAATACGGAACGAAAGGGTAATATGATATGAATGATATGAGGAAGCGGATGCATTAGTTGGGTACTATTAGATCTAGTATGAAACACGTTGTTTTAATATTACAAGTTCAGGATATGAAGAAGTCCGTAGATTCAATCCATTCATCAGGACATAATGAATTCGATGATGTTCATGACATAGCTAAAATGCTGTATGCATAGTCCTGCTTTTGAATAGCTATCTACTGTCTGAGTATATACTAATGTTTAATTATGCCTACTACTCGAGTATATACAAAGGGAAGACCTCAAGTAGGTACCAACTTACACACTGGGAAGTTGTCAGGGGAGAAAAATGTCACCCCGAGAGGTCCTAATATTCATTCTCAACTAAAGCTACAAATCCCATTATGTACCATATCCAAATGCCATCGCCAAATGCAAATAAATTATTCAAATATCATCATACTTCGTAAAACCCTCCAACAATCCCTTAATCAACAACGCCAACCTCTTGCTCTGCCATCTACATATAGCCAAATTCCCACCCACAAACCAGAATCCCTCATGACCACTCTTTCTCCAAATCGTTCTAAGCTCTCCTTCTTCGTCGAGTCCCCATACGTCTTTCACCCTATCTGCCACTTCATCTCCAAATATCTTCCTGCATTGTGTTCTCATATTTAGATAACCCGTCGCAAATACAATTTCATCCGCTTCGAGGATCAATCCATCTGCGAATTCTATACCATTTTCCCGGATACTTGTAATTTCCTGGCCTTGTTTGACTTTGATTTTTCCATCGATGATGAGTTGTGAACATCCGACGTCAAGGTAATAACCACCACCGCGTTGAAGATATTTAATCCAAAGACCTGATCCATCTGGTCCTTTATCGAGTTTGAATCCTGCCGCTTCAAGACCTTTAAGTAATTTCTCGTCGATTTTGTTGACTTGCTTTGTACCCTCTATGTTCAGCTTCTTAAGTACTGGATTTGGCGTACTTTGGAATATCATGTCGGCATCAAACGTCGGAAGTCCATTTTCACCATAAATATGTTTTTGAGCATTGACGTTTGTTTCCGAGCTAACAACATATGTAGTTGATCTTTGGACGATTGTTACTTCGTAGCCGTGTTCGTATAAATCTTGAGCAATGTCATGACCAGAGTTACAACAGCCAACCACAATTGCTTTTTTGTTTTGACCTCGAGATTCCGTCGCTCCAGGAAATTTGGATGAATGAACGATTCTGCCTTTGAAAGTGTCAATCCCTTTGATGTGAGATGGGAAATTTGGCTCTCCACTTGCACCGGTTGCTTGTATTATATGCTATAGAGCATTAGTAGCTGTTGACCGGGGTTGCAGACTGACATACCTTCGGGTGAACAATCCTTGTCTCCTTCTGACCATTATTCACTCTCTCTAGAGTAACCGTCCATTGCTTACTCTCATCACTCCATGAGGTATCCGTAATAGTAGTTTGAGTCCAAGCATTGAGTTCCAATAAAGTAACATATGCTTCAAACCAATCACCCAGTTTATCCTTTGGTGTGAAAACTGGCCAGCTTTCAGGAAAAGGTAGATATGGAAGATGATCATACCAAACAGAATCATGAAGAACTAGTTGATGATATCGTGTACGCCAATTATCGCCTATCCGTTCTTCTCTGTCAACCATGAGAGATTGAACACCAAGCATCTTTAGTCTTGCTGCTATTGTCAAGCCTCCTTGACCAGCACCTAAGGAATATTAGTATATAAACACAGATCAGGCCATTCTCTCTAATTGAAAAACTTACCAAGGATCAAAACAGTCGGTTCAGTTCCATTCCCAAAATCCTTCTCAATATTCCTCTTATCCAGCCAATTTTCCCTCTCAGTCTTCTCTCCATGCTGCACCCCATAAGGTCTCTTCCTTCCTACAGTCTCTTCATAACCATCCAGATTTTCCAAGAAAGTATACAGTGTAAAAACCTTCCACGTTCCCTGATCAAGAGCTAATCTCACAATACCAGCTCCTTTTCCAACATCCGTCTCAACTGTTATGAAAGCCTGTACAACATTTGTTTTCCCATCAACATCAAGTGTCATAAATTTTGAAGATCGAAGTTCTGAGCTGGAATCAAGTGCAATCGATTTCAAACGTGAGCCATTTGTTTTGTTAAAGAGTTCGAGGATTTTAAAGGGCCCATGTAGAGTGTGAAAGTCCCAGGAAAGACACAATTGATCGCGCCAATAAGATTCTTCTAGAAAAAGTGTAGAAAGCGATGTGATATCAGCGGAGCTAATATTTTTATTAAAGCGATCAACAAACTCTGAAGCAACTTTTGTCACATCGATAGACTTGTCAACTTTGGATTCAGGGAGGTTGGCAAGTCGTAATTGGAATGAGCCAGGCTCAACACGTTGAGAGGATGGTAGAGGATTTTCCACTTCAATGCTTCTCATTTTGATGTGTTAATTTGAGCATAAAATAGATGATCATGTAGAGCGGTATGCGTATATGTATATCAAAAGTTACGAGGTGATGTATATATTTATATGCTTGACACAGCAATTGTGATGACGGGTGAATACCCGGAAGACCTTCCTACGTATATAATTAACTTTCAAGGTCGAAAGAATGGACTGGGGGGTTATCTGGTGGTCTTACAAAACGTTCACGCTCTCATGGAGAAGCCAATGGTTGAAATGTTGAGGAGTCTGGGGAACAAGCTACCCCGCACAATACGACATCGGCTAACCTTCCTTTCGGAAGTTATCTTTTTCAGCCATTGATGAAAGAACAGGTAGCTGCGTGCTACGACTTGGAATTAAGCCTGGTGATCATGTGCATTAAGCATAGTCTTCTGTGTAAGTGTGTCAATGATTCTGCAATGTTAATTTGTAAACAATCATGAGTTTAGCTACTCAAAAATATTTCCGCTCAGACCTCCAAAATTGTGCTGTCAAAAGAGAGGAAAGGAATCTGAATATATTGGCTGTCCAGTCCCCGTTCCTCTGCAGTCAGTCTCTGGGTTCAACAGTGTGAGCATGCAGTTCCGAAACATATGGACTACTTCGTACATTACGGTTTGGTTGTCACTAACCCAAGTCTCATGGGTCTTTCCTTCCTCTATCTAGCTCACAAAGTCCGACAAAGATTCCAGATCAAAGCAATGAACGACTGCTGGTGATTCGAACCTATGAAGTTATCGTCATCCTTGACTATTGTCACCACTCTGTTTAGGGTCTGAAATATGGATTGATACAACCGAACTTCCTTAGTTATGCTTAATTACCAGAAGTGGGATGAACAAATGCATGTACATGAAGCCTGAACTAACGCTAGATGAGTCACCTAATTCCAACATGTCAACATGCTGGATAACTACTCTCAGGATATCATACATTTAAATCAATAAACTCAGTCTCTAAGACTCTAGTGGTCTCATTTAGCTATTTTACCCCTTTCACACTGGCGAGATTGCAAAACCCCTTGTCGTAACAATGGCAACATCCCCTCCAAAACCAACCGCAAAATCACGCATCCGTGAAGCAGAACCCAAAGACATCAATGCCATCACAACAGCTATGATCACCTCCCTAAGCTCCGACGCCATGTGGCGATATCGATTTGCGCATCGAGATAAATATCCCGAAGATCTACTCAAGTATGCTCGACTCTACATTGAGCTTTTAGTATCTGGATCTTTTCCGGACTACGCGACTCTTATTGTAGAGGTTGAAGAGGATTCCGTCTGGAACACTGCTGCTTTTTCTATATGGGATATTTCGTATGAGAATAAACGTGTATATACAGCCAAGGGAGAAACTTATACATCCCAATCACGTACGTCTCTTTCCCGTTTCAGCCCAAGAAACTATTAGTTAACCCCGTCAAGCGAACGAAGCAATGGAGGCAGCTGGGGTGAAAACTCGGAGAGATACAGACCCCATTTATGATGCAGTTTTTTTGAAAGTTATGAGTGATGCACGAAAGGATTTTGCCGCGATGTTTGAAGGTAATGAGATTTATCTTAGCTTGATATGCACTCATCCGGATTTTCGCCGTCGAGGCTATGCTTCTCAACTTTTGAAATGGGGTATTGAGAGAGCAGAACGTGATAATGCACCTCTTGTTCTAGGAGCGAGTCCTATGGGGGAACCGACCTATCTTGCTGCAGGATTTGAGGAGTTGGAAAGGGTTGATGTAGTTGTTGAAGGCGATTACGAGAAGCAGGAGGTTGTGAAAATGGTTTACAGACCTAGAAAATAACAAATTAGGAAAGTTTGAGCCGAAAAATAAATGAACACTATTATAGTATCATTCATCTGCCATCTCAAATCAGAACCTAAATCCAGATTAATGGATACACCAGGGAAGTTATAAAGTGCCAAGAAGACAATTCAATTGTCTATTTCTAGGTGCATCTCTATATGCATCTCTATAGTTCTATGAACAGTCTATGTTCTATGGACAGAATTCTAAGCCCAATATAGTCTATGCTTAATTTCCTCCCTGCTCGAAGTCCTTGATGCCCGCAGCGTAGACTTCCTTAACAGTTGTTTTTCCAGCAACAACATCCTTAACTGTCGAAAGAATAGAAGTCCAATCCTCAAAGATTGTGAATGGAACCTTCTCTCTAACACAATATGTGATAAGATCATGACCCTTCTTGGCGAACAAAAGATCAGTCTCCTTGGCAGCAGAAAGATCTGATACTCCATCTCCAGCGTAGAACATAGTCGGTCTCTGATCATCTGGAAGTGCAGCGTATGGTCTAATCTCTCTGGATTTATCATGTCCGAAATGACTATTTGGTTTGTTAGCTTTTGTTCCCATATCTTTTTCCCAATTCAAAACTGTACCTTTCATCATGGTAAACAATGTTCCAACCTCCCTCCTCGTCGAGACTCTTGAATCCTTTTCTAACCTCAACTTGATTACTGACAATCTGAATTTCCGCAGCTTCTTTCTTTCCCAACAAATGCTCCAACAATGCTCTAATGATTGGTTCCATTCCACCACTTAAAATAACAACGGGCATATTGTTCTCCCTCGCCCATTCGAAAAACTCCTTGAAACCCGGATCCAACTTGATGTTCTCAATAAGAGTTTGTATACACTTGCTGTATGGAGTTTTGATACTATCCATCATTGATTGGAAAGAATCACGAAACGTCTTTGTGCCGTCAAGAACGTCTTTGTTTCCTTGTTTGCGAAGTGCTTGACCGAATCCAAGATTATCGGTCATGAAATCATTGGAATCGCGGGTTGTGATTGTACCATCGAAATCGGTGAAGAAGATGTACTTAGGAGAGGTTTGCATAGCGGGGAGAATAGTTGATCCCATTTTGAACCAGTTTGGAGGTACAATGAAAGACTGGTTGATGTTGTTAGCGATTGAGGTTGACTTGTCTTGGAGATGTGAATAAGAAGGCGTAGTGCCGTTGGTAGTTGGCAGACGGGACGAAAGGTTGGAAGTTGAGATGAGATATAAGAGAAGGAGCCATAATTTCGTTTTTTTGGTGAATATTTCGAACTCACATTGATTGGAATAAGGTAAGGAGAAGTCTATAATTCAACAAAATAATGATATATAAATGTGTTCTATTCTGTACAAATTATGGTATCGTAGGTAGGTAAATGTATTGGATTTGTTTGAAGCTATTCAAGTAATAAATAATATGCAACCAAGTCATCATGGTGGGGTTAAATAATTTTATTTCCTGCACTCTGCACTCTGCACTCTGCAGCATCATATCATTACCCCGAATGCCCCTCCATAACCCTCCATAACCCTCCATCACCCTTCACCAGCATCATAACAGCGGTGAGGAATGCACTGAAGAACCTTATAACTCACAGGGTCATCGAAGCCCACAACACCCAATGGTCAGAGCTCCACCGGGCTCAACATCCGAATATTCTCTCATTATCTCAATATCTCATTCTCCCAATCGATGTCAGGAAAAGAGAAAAGTCCTCTGCTCGACACAATTCCTCAGAAAGAGGAAGACAATTGTCAATTGCCATGCAACCATTGACAAGGCTCATCCCTCGGTTTGCAATCGACTCAGGTTCAGCCTCAATATCGAGAAGTTTAAGGATCTCTCCCCGACCTTCGCTCAAATCATCAATCTGTCTACAATGTAGAATCTATTCCCCCAGTCTGCGGCGACACTTCGCAGATGATCAAAGACCTATAATAGAACCACCTCCTCATCTTCGACCTAAGGTTACACCTCCGGAAGATCCTAAACCTCAACCTCAACCTGAAGAAGAGAAGCCCGCTTCTATTCCAGAGTACAGCAAACAAGATGACTCGCCCTCTCCCCAACTCGAGAGGGATAGAGAGCTTCCCTCTACCCTCGAAAGCCGACGCCTTGCCATGACGAAGAAATTATCCCATCTAATGGACCATATGCAAGGCAACATATTCATAGCTTCTCAACGCATCAACGATCTCACAGGCTACTCCGGCATTGAAGCCCTAAAGAACAAAATCACCAATCTCGAAGCTCAAGTTGCCAGTTCTAAAGAATTAGTTCGAAGTACTCGTCTGCATTATAAAACTACCGTCGCAGATCGTGCTTCTTCTCAACGCGAGGTTACAACTTTACTAGCAAGGAAAGATACATGGACTCCTGCTGACCTCGAGCGGTTTACACATCTTTACCGTATGGATCATACCAATGAACAAGCAGTCCAGGAAGCAGCCACAAGACTCGCAGATGCGGAGCGCGAGGCTGAGAAAGCAGCTGGGGAACTGAGTAGTAGTATATTATCACGATATCACGAGGAGCAAATTTGGAGTGACAAGATCCGGAGAATGTCTACATGGGGAACATGGGGATTGATGGGAGTGAACGTCTTGTTATTTTTGGTATTCCAATTTGGATTTGAGCCATGGAGAAGGAGAAGACTAGTTGCGGGATTTGAGGAGAAAGTTAGAGAGGCATTAGAGCAGGAGAAGACTTTAGCCATGTCTACGGCTATTCGAGGTGCGGAGATTGGTGGAGGAGAGGGCTCAGAAGTGAGCTTGGATGAGATTGTTGCGGCTGAGGTTCAGGAATTGAAGGAGGAGGCCCTAGTGGAAGGTTTGGGTGAACCAGCCGTGGAAGCAGTGGCAGCTACAATTGAAGGCGAAGTACCCCATCACGAATCAAATAACGAACCAGCCCAAGAAATTGGCGAAGCAGCAGCAGCAATGGATACAGCAGAACTGAATATTCCATACTCAAGACCTCCACCATTCGACTATCGAAACATAGAATCCTGGAAAGAGAAAATGGAAGCCGGAAAAGCTGCGGCAATAGACCTATGGAGCACAAGACAAGTTTCGATAACTAAAAAAGACATCACAATCATAGCATTAGAAGGTGCAGCTGGAGGAGCAGTGCTAGCAGGAGCCATCTTTACATTTATAATACGTCGTTCATAGACACCCGACCGACTCGGAAACCTGGCAGGCAGTGCAGGAATATGAAGAAAATTTTGTACACATTATCAGATCTATCAACCTTGTAGATTTTGTTTTTTGTTGGTACATAATGGCATGGATTTGTTAATGTACTTACAAGTTACTGTATGTACTGGCAAGATATCACGCAAATGGATATATAGCATATTAGCGTAAGAGCCAGAAATCCAATTATTGATGAATTTACGCAGACCATTCCTGTATCCCGGATCCCGTGTCTTATTTCTCATAGCACGTTACAATGCACTCTTTCCCGGCCAGCTACTTATTTATGTACAGTACAGATGATAAAATAATTACACCCATCAAGCAAATAAATCGAGACAAATACGTAGAGTACACAGTAAATAGATATAGATATAATAATAACTTCTTAAGATTCATAATCGTAATTCTCATGTATATATATATATACAAAAATACCCCCCTCTTCCTTCCCCATCGTAGTATTCACACCACCAAAAAATCATGCAATTCATCATTCATAACCATGCATACCCATCCACTCACTGGTGATATTTTCTCAATGAACTAATAAATCAATAAGCACCCTTCCTCTTACTCCATTTAGGACTTTCCACCAAAGCGGGGGCTTTGAAACCCGTGAGTACGGGTGTCCCAGCAGTCAAAGTGAAATTTGTCAAGGCGGCGCCTGAGGATTGTTGGGCCCAGAGTTCGATAGCTAGGGTGTTTTGGCCGTTGTAGTTTAGGATTCCTGTGGAGGGGGAGGGATATTAGTTGGATGTTTGGAGGTTTGGAATAAGGAGGGAAGGAGAGAGCGAGAATGCAGGGAAAGCTGTGTAAAAGAGATGAGAAAATGAAAGGAGAAAACAAACCTTGTGGTACAGGGAAACTCTTCTGTGGTCCAACATTATTAATGTATTTTCCAAACTGCCAGCCGTTAACCCAGAGCTGCGCTCTGTACTCGCTCGTACCATTTGCCGATGTACTGTTTCCAAAGTTGAAACTCAGAGGTACATCATAGCCCTTTGGTAAATCCAACTTAAAGGTACTTGTGAAGAATCCCACTCCGGCATTCTTTATCCCGGTAGCAGGGGATCCTGAAATCCACGATGAAGAAGGAGGACTAGGTTGTGTAAAGCCTTGTCTTTCAGCATAAAGACCGCCTTCGTTGAGAGGACCGCGCACTTGATCAATATATTGCTCTCCTCCCAAGTTTCCGGTGAGTTTCCATGTAACGGCATCCTTGGTTCTGCCTGCTAAGACGTAGTTGAGGATTCCTCTGGGTTGTTTCATTCCCTCAGCTCCCACAGTCCAGTTTTCATCTAAACCATTGTTATCAATCACTACGGTGAATACATATTTAGCACCAGCTTTGAGATTGGGAAGCGTGTAAGTGGCATTATTTGATTCAGCGTAGTCAGCTCCGGTCCAGGATCCAATGTAAGTGGAGTTGAGCCAGACTGAGGAGCCGAAGGCGGCTCCACCTTGGGTGGAGATATAAATGGATGATTCATTGCCGGATGCGACGAAATGGCCACGGAAAATTAGGACACCAGTGCTGTATCCGTATTCTGGACCGTTGAGGACGGTGGGTGTGAGAAGAGGATTGAGGAACGGGTTGGTCGTTGAATTCTTGTTGGCGAGAGTCCAGGCTGAGTCGTCATAGGTGGATTTGATTTCAGGGAGATTGTCAAGGTATTTCCAGCCGAGGGTTGAGAGGTTTGGAAGAGAGATTTTTGGGGCTGAATAGGTGAGCGTTGAAGAGAGTTCGCCGGTAGTCGAATCAGTTTTGTATGAGACTTTTTGGGAGTTGAAGTAGAGATTTTTGGTTCCTTTAGGAGCTCCGATGACTTTGAATGGGACGGTGGCGTTAAGATCACCGTTGATGTGAAGGTCGGAGCCTTGGGTTGAAACGTTTCGGACGAGATAACCTGCTTCTACGATAACTGAAGCTGTGTTTTCGACACTTGACGCGCTGATTCTCATGTGAGCGGATATCGAAATCAGGAATAGGATGGAACACTTACAATGCACCCCATTTGTCTGTTCTGACGAAGTCTGGTACCCAATAGTTGTATGCACTGTTTCGATCCAAAATATAAACAAACACACTACCAACCTTAACTACTCTACGTGTGGTAGATGTTTGCCAGTTAAGAATCGCCGAGCCGTTAGTACTCTTAGTTGTGACATCTGAACCCTCAACAATTTTTGCGGAGCTCTTTGTAACCACAGCCAATTCATGCAATTCTCCTGGGCCACCATAAACTACCAAAACAGTCTTGTCATCAAACTTTTTCCAGGTGAAGATTTCTGCTGTAGAGTATAGGAGTGTTGTTCCTCCGATGTCGTAGTCTGTCACATGCCATTTTGAATCTCTACCGCTGAGAGTAAGACTTCCATTCAATTGTGGAATAGTTAATGCCCCTTGACTTGTAGTGACAGTCAATTTATAGGTCTCTGAAGCTAAAGCTTGATAGTCTGAATGGCGAACAACATAAAAGTTTGTAACAGTTCCATTCCCAAAAAGTGGAGTTGTGGTAATGGAACCACTGGTGGTGTAGGTACCATTGGCAGCTGGTTGAACTGATGTGGTGAGATATGCCGAGCTGACTTTTAGGAAGTTTGCCTCTAGCTTTAGCTCACTGTACTTCTCGCGGGATACTTCACGATTTTCGGTGATAGCAGAGCCATAATCGTAGGAAGTGTAACCACCTAAGATAGATTGTAAGCGATAGCTAATGATGAAGGTGGCTGTTGCTTACCAGAATGGCCAGAATTACCCCAGTTTGTTCCACCGACTAAAAGATTGTCAGCATTTAAGTAATATTTGTATGACATTCAAGACTCACAAATCATATATATGCTCAAAAGAGCAACACCAGAAGCAAAATCATTCTTATAGAAGACTCGCTCGAATTGATCATTCAAGAGCTGGGCACACGCATCAAATCCCTATAAAAGTTTAGCAACAAGAACTTTCAAGGCGTTATTCCGTCTTGGTTTGGAACTCACGAGACCACCCCAAGGATCAAATGCACCACCTTGAAATTCATTTATAGAGTAGAATGTACTTGGACTTTGTTCCTCATGAGTTGCAGCGAAGTACGTTGGTAGATCTCCAGTAGGCCAGACAGTTGGGTGTGCGCAATCAAATCCTAATGGATAAGAATCATGGCCGTAAATGTCAACATCACCAGCTGCCGATCCATTGATCTCAGAACCTGGTGCGAAATGTCCTCCTGCATCTATTTTCTCATTAGCTCCTCGCTCATTACCAAGATCACGATGCCCTTCCTTCCTACACTTATATCTCGGAACCCCATGACTTGAAAGGGAAACTTACAAGCATCATTACTAATAAATGGAACGGTGACGCCCGCATCTCTCGCCTGCTTCTCCACATAGGCGAAGTAAACTGGATCTGGAAATCCACCTGGAACATATCCGGAATATCCCGAGTATTCGTTTTCAGGCTGGTATAGAATAATTGGTCCCCCTTTTGTAATTTCATATTTGGCGATTAGACTAGCGATGTTCGCTACGTAGTTGTCGGTTGCTGCGAGATAGTCTGGTGCTTGGGAACGTAAAACGCCACTTACGCGTTGAAGCCAACCTGGGAAACCACCACCGGAAGATTCGGCGTTGATGTACTACATTTGCATATATTAGCAAGAGATAGGAGACAGAAGGTAAAGATAATATGAACTTACGGGACCTGGGCGAGCAATAAGATATATACCTGCTTCCTTTGCCGCATCAAAGAAAGGTTCAAAGGCAAACACTCCATCTGCAGTGTAGTGTCCTGGATTTCCTTCAACTAATGCCCAGTCGACATAAAAGGAAACAGTATTGAATCCGAGCGCTTTCACTTTTTGGAAAATATCAAGCCATAGATCAGGTACTGGAAGCCGATATGGATGGAACTCTCCCGAGAAGATGAATATACGTTCTCCGTATACCTTGAGAGAGTGTTCATCATATGTGACCTGTTGAAGTAGTTTTAGTAATGTTCATTCTCAAGCTCAATTGACCGTCAATTGGTTCATTGGTCGATTGAAAGATCTAAAAGAGGAGTGAAAACTTACAACATCTTGAAGTCCAGCATCTCTCTCCACAACCATTCTCTCACCACCAATGTTAATCGACAGTGCTGCAGCTTGAGCCGCACAAGCAACTGTCGTGAAAGCATGTAAAAACCTCATGATTGCAATGTCTCGACTGCAACTGCAGAGTTTCAATCAGACACACGCAATGGAAGATAAATCACTTTAACGCGAACAAGATTGTGAGTGCACCGAGGTAACCTTTATATAGTACCTATAGCCACCAACTACTTTACCCACTCTGACAGTCTTGCCCCCTCACCCACCTGCATAAATTTCCCCAAATACGAGTAACAGAGTTCAGATACCCATGCAAGTACACACCGTTGCATTTGACGATAAAATTCACCCAGACACATCATATATGCCAAGTATCGCCAGGCACAGGCACATAAAATCTTAAAATCTTCAACTCCGAACCCCAGCATGCGGGGTAACGATCGTCAACTCCACTTGCACAGCCAACCATATCCCCATCATGTCGGAGCACTTCATTTGGCTAAAGGCAAGAATATTGTCCCGAACCGAGCTGCCTTGGAAAAGTTTTGATGGAAATGACACAAAGTAAAATGACGCCAGGAATTTGTAAAAATCCGTTGATTTTGTGGAGAAATAGCTTGAGATTTTGCGCACCAACCGGATTATTTGGATCGAGGCAAATGGATACGCTTGTGGTATAGCTTCACTTTCTTGCATGAGATAATAAAGAAAAAGAGAACATAAGTTTGTCCGGACCGAGAATGTTCCATGATCTTGGTTGCGGGAAAAATGAGGTGCCGATGTTGGCGCTTTTTATATGTTCTGCCAACAGAGCGTTTTCTGCATATGACTCTGAGTGAGGTGATGTTGGTGTTGGACAACCGGAGATGGGTAACCATCAATATGTATTGACACTTTAAGGCCACAGGCAACTGTAAACTTGACCAGTATTCTGGGTCGATTGGAGACATTATTCAATATTTGGCTGCAGACCACTTTAGAATAATTGTTACCTGCGTGTTCCTCCCGTAAGCACATTGATCTGATCCAATTTTATGCATGGCTCTTTGAATTTTATGTATTGTATAATCGACCCCCGTTATTGTCTAATCACGGAGCCCATAGTTCCTGTACATGTCACCGGAAAGTTGATTCTCATTGCCTCGGTCTATTCCAGTGGCCATAGCCCTGGATATATTATCGCTGGTATCCGTAATCTCGCGCACGCAAATATTCCTCTATACTGCGACTTCTACCTCCCGCAGACCATATTCTACTTCAACTCTTAGGCAGCCGCCTTCTTTGGTTTTTTGGTTCCGTACTTCGATCGTGACGTTGCCCTGTTTCCTACTCCTCCCTGTGATTGCAAATGTATTAGCATGAATCCTCATAAACCTCATAATCCATTCCGCCATGCTTCCCATGCCAATTCATCTCTCAAATACACAATATCCCAACTCATTCCCTCATAACTCCAAAGCAAACGGAAATCTACTCACCAAATCTCCCGCTCCTCTAACCAAATGATATCTCACACCTGGACAATCTTGACTCCTTCCTCCTCTGACCAATACCACACTATGCTGTTGCACATTATGTCCCTCGCCCGGAATATAACACGTAACCACTCTCCCCGTACTCAATCTAACTCTGGCGGTTTTTCGCTCCGCCGAGTTAGGTTTCTTTGGTTTAGTTATACCAACTTTCAATGCTACACCCTTGAGCGCTGGGGCCTGAACAGTTGATAGAGCAGGAGATACGGCTTTACGCATAGCCTGTGCAGTACGACAACCGCGGCGGACTTGATTGTATGTTGCGGCATGAGATGGCGAGCAGGAGAACGTCCGCGATGAGGAAATTGTGATTGATTTGAGTTGGTTTGTGATGGATTGTGTGGTGGGATGAGAGGCGGAAACTGAAGGCGTCGACCGTATTGACGGCATTAAGAAACGTTGTAATATTGAGGTAGCCATTGTGACAAGTGAGCCTGGTTATCGTTGAATCAATTGCGTTCGTCGACGACGAGATGGTGAGGGGAGAGAAAGCTTTCGATATTGCCAAGACTTGGAGTACGTGTGGCTGAGATACTCACGTGATGTGGCTCAAACACCTTTCAAGATTATTGATGAAGGCTGACTTTAGGTTGAGAACCTTACTTGTTTCTGCGTTACAACGGTTCAAATATATAAAAAAGGATCCATTCTTTTCCCCAATATGCAGATGTTGCTTTATTGTGTAAATCTATCTCAAAAATTTTCTACCTCCCGATGAAAAAACAAGAGGCATTACTTCCCAAGCCAGATCCCAAGCCGGACCATTTTAACATATACAGCGTGTCAATTGGATTTTTACCCCATGCAAACGCCCATGTCCTCCTAATCCTATCATGCCAGATAGTGAATGTCCTCAAATCCTCAATCCCCGATCCATCAATGCTGCTCCCTAGAAAATGCATTCCCACATGAACACGAAAGTATATTTAGACTATGTCTTTAATCTTGTTGACTTTCATAGCCCTCTGGCTTTTCCATCTTGTTGATATCAAAGAATCGCGACGTACCTGCTATTCTTAGTACAATGTCAACGTGTAGGAAGGAGTAGAAAGACTTACATGAGTATCCTTTCCAATCAAAGTTATCCTTTGGATTGCAGTGACACTTCAAATCAAGCCTCGTTTGCTCTCCTGTTGGGCAATGGGTGAAAGGGACGTGGTAATAGGCAATATCGTTGAAGAAATGAATTTCTTCCTTCTTCAAAAGAAGGCCTGCAGCAATGGAGTGAACCGGTGCATCACCCCAACGTTCGTAGAAGAATCCTCCATCTTGGTCGAGTTGCTCAAAGTAGTCCGTGTATGCCTTTGATCGAAGCCAATTGAGGTTGCCAATCTCGAAGTTAGACCACTGTAACATTGTGTTAGTATAAAATCCACGCGATTCATTGCGTATGACGAAAACCTACCATGTGGCAGTGGTTATAAGTTTCACCACCATCGTCACTAAGGAAACCCATTGAGTTGCCTTCGGCAATGTGCTCTGGGTGGGCCTTGATGAACTTTTTGACACTGTCCCACAAAGTTGGGATAGTTTCAACATATTCGTAAAGACTCAATACGAAACTATACTTTTTCTTATTGTCGGCCATGAACTTGAATGCGTCGTAATTAATATCACAGAAAAGTTCAATGGATGGCTCGACTCTCCAGTACCACTCGTAGTTCAACATCAATTCTTGTTGGAAGAAGAAACCAGATTCGAAGCGACACATGTGGCGGTAGCTGACCGAATCACCATAGATGATCTTTTTTTGTGCCATATCCTCACGAACCTTCTTAGCCTTTTCGGTATCAATGTGATCGGGGAATGACCAATGTTTCTCTGGAATTTCTCCATAGTGAGTCTTTCCGGAAACAAGGGATGTGGTAACTTTCTTGAATGTGGAATCGAATGGCTTGTCATTTAGGAAAACCCAGTCGTAATTAAACTTTTTGTTGAATCTATCCTCTACTTGACGAATGGATCGTGCGATTTCCCAAATATCCGCGTTTCGTGCCAAAGTAACAAATGTCGCATTCATGCGTTCTCCAGGGACGGTCGCAGGTGGAAGATCATGAGTATTTGGGGAAGTTTTAGCATCGGAAGTCTTTGAATCATCAGCAGAGTGACCCGATGTTGAAGTGCCTGCTTTGATAGGGATGCCAGTCTTGTCTGTGAAGACTTGCTGCGCAGTCTGTAACCTTTGATCGGATGAAGATGATATAAAGTATACAATGGCGAGACCCTATAAAGAGAAATGTCAATAGGTGGATCTAAGTAATTGCTGTTATCGAAATTGATGGTGGGAAAGACTTACAAAGAATGCAAAGAGAATATATCTCAAATATCTAGCTGTCCCTGTAGCCATGATGATATAGCTTTATTGTGTCGAAATTCTGAGCCTCCAGGTGGTGCCTCTTTCATAAATCCAACAGTTATTCCACTAACCAATTGAACACGAACGGACTCTTAGCAATTACCAACCCCAGAACGGCTTCTGTTCTGGCATGGAACGTGTAAGTGCCGCGAACGCAAATTGCCTTCGGCCCTCCAACAATATGAAGAGAGACGGAAGAAGAAAATGAAGGGGAATAACGAGCGATCCGAAAAGAAAAATGTGTGATATTATTAAACACACACAAAGAAGAATTTGAAGATGGGAGGGAATGAGGAAGAGGGAGAAGAAGAAGAAGAGGAAATTAATTTATGTTTAAAATACGAATAAAGGAGGTCAAATCTTTCTCCTGTGCTGGGTGTACGCAGCGTAGGTAGGTAAGAGGCCAAAAAAAGTATCTAATTGAATGAGATTTGGATCTAGCCAAAAGAATCCTTGTATAATCTTGGGAATCTTACGCAAGGGAGGATTTCCCTTTCCCTTGATAATAAAAATAATGATAAAAGATTCCGCAGGCGTGGATTTGAGTTATTCGATAGATACTAGATAGGCACCTTTAGCTGCCCCAGATAAAGTTTTTACAGAGAGTAATACGAGACGATTGACGACTTGACGAGTGAGACGACCAAGTCCTTGAGAAAGGTGGCCAAAGTTAATAATATTAATAAGGTTAAAGTTGCATCTGTACTTTATCATCATCTACTACTCGAGTAGATACTAGGTATATACATACTTGGTAGGCAGATGATAATACAGAGTAGAGGAAACACAAGTACCGTTATCAAATACTATAATTTTCAATGTCTAATCATGGTAGAATATGATATTGGTATAATTGTAAAACGATAAAACTTGATGGAGTAAGTTCATCCTTACTTGCGCGATTGATATAGGAACAACATCAATACTAGGTAGTTGTTTGCTGATACCCCTCAAATAGTGTATATAGATATATAAAAGTCCAACTGGTCTTTCTGCGCTACAAGCTCACATGTGGATATAAGGAGTAGTTATATTAAATAAAGTTTCAAGGCTCAAAAGGTACACTACCGTACAACCTATTATCTAATCAACTAAACAATATATTCATCGCGTTCAAATGTTATCTATAATCAACAGTTGTAGTCGGTAGTTCAGATACAGATCTTATATCATCAAATAGATGTATTTTAGGAGGTTCGAATGTATACCAAGTCGTACCGACCTAGTATCTTCAAGGTTATTTATTAGTCTGCCACCACGGCAGTGGCCCCTGGAGGGCCAGCGGAGGGCCAGCGGAGCGTCATTCTTTGGTCATTGTGATCAATAAGGTAACTAACTAGGTAGGGGAGTATGCATTCTTATAAGGTTAGGCTCCCAAACCTCTACTACTTTCTGCGCTTGAAGGTTGATGACTTTCTCTTCAAATATTTGATAGAACAGACCCTAGCATTAGGTAAGCAGGATCGTAAGGCCACCAGCTAGAATAGAAGCATAGAAGCAAGGCATCAATTTCCCATTCTTTCATCTGGAGACTACCCCACCATATCAGAGCCAATTCACCCTCGACTGCTTCAGTGGACACGGATAGGATATATTTCACGACATATCTTCCCTATATACCTAGGTAGTACCTTCTATTCATTATTATTGAAAGCTGCTTCAAGATTCCAAAGTTGCTTACTTGATACTCACTAGACAAAAAACTCTCCACCTCATTATCGTGTAAAAATCCAGTACCAGATAGTAGGTATACGCCTAGATCGCAGGTCAGGGTCGCGTCTGTGTCCTTCGTTCTTCCTTACCCACCAACCACACTGATTAAATTTTGAAGCTCTATCTCCTCCTCCACCTTTCCGTCTCGTCACCCTCAACCCATCCCACCAACACATCAAAAAGCTCAAAAAAAAATAATAATCAAAAAAAAACACCCTCTCCTTCTTGTACTTGTTGTATTATTCAACTTCTTCCCACCTATTAACCTCATCAACAATTTTGTTCCATCAAAATTTGGAGCATTCTACTATCTTCACTGATCTAATCTTTTCTTCAACCTTCAAATTTCATCCTTGGAATTGCAACCACATACTTTACACGTCAAAATTTCCCTTGATTTCCGCATCTTAATGGACACAAAGTTGATCTGATTTTGCGTTCTCTGCAATCATGTCTTTCTTTGGATTTGATCCCAGCCAACGGCCCCAGGAGAGGGGTCATAATACTGCTGCTCCAGGTTTTGGTCAACATGCAGATCCATTTGCAAGTCTTTCTGGCTCAGGAAACGATAATGAAGCGTAAGATGATTTCTCCTTCATTCTTCTACTTCCGTCAATCGAAGAAGGACTGCTAATTCTTCTACCTCGCAGATTCGATTTCGAGGATACATATGATGGTTTAGGAGATCAACTCGAAGAGACCGGTGATGATTTCAACGACGACACCTTCGGTGCCGGCGCGGGTGACTCTATTGCAAGCAAGCCAGTTGGAAAGGACTTTGACTTTTTTGGACAAACCGCAAAAGTTTCCAGTGCTATCAGTGAGGAACAAATGCGATACACCCGACAACAACCAGTAGTATCTAGGACAACCCCCACTACATCTACCTTCTCACAACAACGTACATCAAGACCTGCCAGAACTGGCTATGAGCGTTACCAAGAGCCGGAGTATGTTCCAGATATGCAGGTAGATGCGAACCTTTGGGGTGTCACACCAAAACAAGCTCCTCCTAAGACTGCTACTCCTCCCGTTGCTGGTACATCAGCACCGAGCCGAAAGATGATGAGTTTAGAAGAAGTGGAAGCAGCAATGAGAGCTCAAGCCAAAAAGCCCTCGCAGCCTCAAGCACCTGTCCAGCAGCAACAAATGCCACCATCTCAACCACAGTACCAACAGCCTCCACCTCAACAATACCAAAATTTTCACCCACAAGCTCCCCAGCAGCAACAACAACAGCAATTCCCAGTTCAAGTCAGCGCTCCACTTCAATTGGAACAGCGCCAGATTCCTGTTGAGCAACCAATTCATATCTTACAACGCCCCCAAGTTCCAACGAGCCAAGTCAATGTTCCTTCTATTCCATCTCAACCTGCACATATGCAAAACATGAACCGATTTCCAGGTCAACCACAAGGTGCACAACGTGGTCACCATCACCCACATGCTTCCGGAAACCGACATGTTATCACTCACCCACAACAATTGGTAAACTTGTCTGAAGAAGAGCGAGCCGCATTCTTGTTGGAAGATGCCAAGAGGGCAAAGCGGAATCACAAGATCTTTTTGTTGTCGAAAGACAATGGTTTGATGACACCTCAAGACAAGAACTTCATTACCCGCATTCAATTACAGCAATTGGTCACCGCTACTGGAAACCCCAATGAACATGGTATAGATTCTTCTCTTTCCGAGGATTTCTATTACCAAGTTCACAGTCAAATTCGAGGTGGACCTCGTCAAAATCCTCATCAACCTTTGAGCAACTTCGCGCAGACATACCTGTTTCAAACCGGCAATCGTCATGGTGGCATGCGAAGACAAGCTCGTGGTGGTGATAATCATGTACAACGTATGGAGCAACAAGTACAACGAGCGGTTGAGGCAGCGAAGAATAAGCCAAAGAACAAGCAATTGGTGATTGAAGGAAGTTTGGGAAAAATCTCATTCAGCAACGCAAAGACTCCTAAGCCCTTGTTGAACATAAAGCGAACCGATAGCAGTGAAACAAGACCTGGACAGTCTCCCAACCCTCGCAAGGCTAACCTCGCAAATGTTAGCGGTAGCAACAGAAAAAGTACCTTGACTGACATTGAGAATGTTTATAATACATTAATGGAGTTGGAGGACCACGAACGCTCAAAGCCCAGACCATTGGGTCATGATGAGATTAACCCACAAATTGCTGGTATGAATCAGGATTGGGACGAACGACAACAATTTCTCAACAAGCAATTATGGCGAAACTTGAGAATCCATGAACCGATCGGCGCAACGACTGTTCACCCTTTCATCGCATTCCTTTCCTTTAACAAGGGCAAAAAGGCAATTCCTCGGGTTTTCAGGCATATCTCTGATGAACAACGTGCTACTATTTTGACCATGATCATTCTTCACCTGGATAAACTCGATGTCGTTCGATTGGCTGTTCCTAGCCCTGACGGAATCCAGCTCAGTGCTGAAACCCGAGAAAACATCGATCTCTTCCAGGTGACAGTTATGTCAAGCCTATTTGGATTCCTTCACGATGCTGACTTCCAAATTACTACTGGAGTTTTGGGACTTATTCTTAATCTTAACATCGATTTGATTGCTCGTACCAGAATCGGTCTCAGTCTATTGACGATGATTCTCAGTCGGGCTGAGATTACCAAACAAGCTGGAGATGTTGATGAACGTGGATGGAGTGATTGGTGAGTACATTTTACTCTACTTTTGGTATAATTCTAACATATTCTTTAGGTTGTCCACTCACAATGCATTTTTCGATGCTCTTGAGCCCACACTTCCAGAAATCTTCCCAGGTACGGTCAATACTGGTGAAGATGTGTACGTTTGGCAATTCCTTGCTGCCATCGGTATTGGTGCTAGCCCTGAGCAACAACAACGACTAGTTATGGCTGTCAAGGATCGTGTGATGGAAACGGTTGGACTCGCAAAAACATTACCACCTGCCATGTCCAGTCAACGACTTGCCAATGTAAACCTCTTCATGCGTTCTATCGGACTTGATGTTGAGTTACTTGCATGAATGATGGAGACGAATATCTTTTCATATTTCCAACCATATTGAATTCTCTTTCTTCTCTACTACGATATCTGATGGTTGAAACCAATGGAAGGGCTTGTTGGTATTGATTATAGTGGCATATTAAATTTTGCTTTCCGCATTTTTGTTAGTTGGCGATTATGAACGTACAGCATTGAGCAGTCTCTATAGGACAGATTTTTATGAATGGGAGCGTTTTCACTGGATGGTGGATTACTAAAAAAAAAAGTATTATTATTATGATTTAGGAAGAAGAATGACCATGGTTGGTGATGAGCATTACATTGTTTAGCAGAGCATGGGATATTACAGCATGTTGACTTTTTTACAAGATGGGGAGCTCAGGCGGATAGAAAATATTTATGCATTACAGCAAATGCAAAGCGAATCAATGAGGCTATGATGTTGATGGCCTGCAAACAAATGTGAAATAATTCTTGATGTTTGATGTAGGTATATTTAGCTATAATTACAGCCAGAACATGAAGATGCAGGTAGGTTGGTTACTCCCCTATGGCAAATCCCGTGCAGCATTTCTTCATGACTAAGTTGAGTGGGATGCAGCCAGCTGCTCAAATGACGGGTTCGATGATAATGGATAAAGGATAAGGGAAAGGGGAAGATAGTCGCACGTCCCTTTGATTCTTGATTTGGTGTATAGCGGTATTTTCTATATTCTTGATAGTGGTGACATCATGGATCTGGGGGAGATTTTTACCGGGATGTTGATGTTGATGTTGTGTAGTGTAGGGTGGATTTTATATATACATCTCATGTCATATCAGATACTACTAGGTAGCTAGAGACTACTAGGTAGATAGATATATTCTAGATTCTAGATTTTAGATTTTAGATTTTAGATTTTAGATTGTGTGTTTATCCATTCATTCTTCTTTTTCTTCTTTTTTCTACTCTTTTCCTTTTATGAAATCATCAAATTCATTTCATTCCATTGTTCACTAAATTAAACCTAAACCAAAAGGAACTAAATTCCTCCCTTTCTTCCTGCCTAGTATTAACCATCCTCTGAATACCTAATCAGTATAAGATGTCGAGTAATCAGGAGGGAAATGGAAAAGAGGAAGAGGAGCAGGAACAAGAGCAAGAGCAAGATACTCGGCCAGTGGGGTTTTGGCATCGGGATTTAAATGGTGTGAGGGGGTTTGTGGTTAAGAAGTGGATTTTTACTAGTAAGTCTTTTTTGAGGGTTGCGGTTGCGGTTGCAGTTTGGGTTTTTATGTGGTGGGAATACTAGTAGGGTGATGGATTTGTTTGGATTGGGGTTTGGTGATCTGGAGGCCTTCATGTTGAATGCTTCAGAGATTGATATTGCTATTGCTGTTGGGTCATTAATAGTTGTACTGCACTATGGATTCAGATTATCTGTTTCTCCCTCCTCTGTCCTTCCATCCTCTATCTTCACATCTTCACATCTTCACATCTTCACATCTTCACATCTTCTGTCTTTCATTCCCATCCCACATCCCTCTCACTAACACCATCCAGCCATCATCCTCTCCGCCGCAATCCTTGCCATCCTCTCCATCTACTGGGGTGCCCTCTTTCACGTAGAGCAAAACCTCTCCTCATTAGTAGTATGGGTAGTAGATTTCGACGCACAAATTGCACCCTACACAGATACAACTCCTATCGTTGGACCGGAAATTTTAAAGGCTGCCGAGGCTTTAATTGCTCCTAGTGGTGCGTTGGGATGGGGAAGTTTGCCTGCTAGTGATTTTGGTTTTGATCCGATGGAGGTTAGGAGGAGGGTTTATGATTTTAAGGCTTGGGCTGTGAGTGACCTTCTTCTAATTTTTTTGATAATGTAATGGGAGTGTGTGGAGATCGTTTGATTATGGTTTGAAGATGGGAGGTTATTGAGGTGAAATAGATTTGGACGTCTATATGACTTAAACGTTCACATGATGTTGAACTCTGCACCACTCGATTGAATCTATCTGGAACAAAGAGTTTTGTTGAAGTAGTTAAAGAATTTCAATGTTTCAAAGCTTGAATCACAATCGGACTGCGATCTGTACTATTGAACACGAGCAATATTGACTCTACTGAACATTCGACATATTTCTAAACAGAGCTCACGAAAACGCTCTTTCATACTAACACACTATTAGGCAATAATAATCAACGCAAATGCAACGGCACTTCTTCAAGATGCAGTGCAGAATGGAAATACTACCTTTGATCCCCTCGGCATCGCACAAATAATCTACGTAGAAGCTAGAGATGAAACCACCTACGCCAATTACATCACACCACAATTACTTCAATTTCAATCAACCGTCACTAGCATGTTTGGTCAACAATGGACTTCACGAGTACTGGAACAAGCCGCTACAGATACTTCAATCCTGACGAATATACGAAATAATCCTCAAGCAATCTCACCTGCTATTGGCTTTTCAACATTTAATCTAAGGCCTTTTGCACCACCTGTCGCTACACCAGCTGTCAGCATTGGTCTCATTTATTTAATCATTATCTCCTTCTTCTCATTCTCATTCTATCTTCCTGTTCATACCAAATATATCACACCTGAAGGACATCGTCCTATGCATTTCTATCAATTAATTATTTGGCGCTGGTTAGCAACTATAGTCGCTTATTTCTTCCTATCACTCTTCTACTCTTTAATCTCTCTCGCATTCCAAATCCCGTTTTCATCAGGACAAAAGAGTATAACAATGGTTGAGAATCAAGCTACAGCTTACGGAAAGGGTACCTTTGTAGTATTCTGGATGCTAAATTGGGTTGGTATGGCAGCATTAGGAATTGCATGTGAGAATGTTACTATGATTATTGGACAACCGTGGACAGCACTTTGGTTGGTCTTTTGGGTTATTACAAATGTTTCGACAAGTTTTTATCTGATTGATTTGGCACCGAGATTCTTTCATTGGGGATATGCATGGCCATTGCATAATAGTAAGTCCTCTATTATCATACATGTACACAGAGCTAATGAAATAATAGTCGTCGAAGCCAGTAGACAAATTCTTTTCGATCTTCATTCAAGAATAGGTTTGAATTTTGGTGTGTTATTCGCTTGGGTTGCGGTCAATACTGTTTTATTTCCGTTTTGTTGTTATTTCATGAGATGGAATATATTGAAAGGACAGCAAAAGACGATGGATAAGAGAGGGAATGCTAAAGATGATTTGGAGGTGAAAGATGCGGTGGAAGCTTGAAGGTATTGGTTGTGAGATTTGGATTTGGATATGGATATGGATTGGAATGTAGGATTTTGTAAAGTTTGTTTAGATATTGAAGATCGGTGCGAGATAATTACTTGGATAAAAAAATAGAGGAGACAGGGATGATAGAACTAACGTTCTTTTGCTCGCATGGTATATATGAAAATAATATGGAGTTGGGATATGATGATGAGGGCTCTTGTATATATATATATATAGATCAGATGGAACTATATCTACTACTTAACGTATACATACATATGATAATAATGACAATAACAATAATACACTCAAACCAAACAACAAAGTATTTAGAAGTTTAGTAGATAAAATGAACCAGGAGGGAAATCAAGAGACTAGATTTCCCTGCTAGGATCGCAAGTATGTGTAAAGTACCTGGATCATGGTCTTGATTGTTGAGAGGATGATTGATCACCCTCAATCATGTTGGAGATATCATTCTTACTTCAGATAGATTACGAAAATTGCCCTGCCCAGATTAAATTCCAAGGTAGACGCGAACGAATTTCAATATGAGTTGCATCTGAGGTTCTGCTACATCAACAAGTCAGATAAAATGCAAGCCATCGTGTTACAGAATTCGGATGGATTTACAGATCACGTGTGATTACCCCAGACAGGGACTCCAGACATCGCTTGGAATCATATCTTAATATCTGCGACAAGACTCGTCCCATATCAACGCCATCATGTCAAAATTCCCAATCACAATACATTATACAATCTTGACGTCTAGATTTGATGAGACGAGGAAAGGATCATCATGCTTTTGATGTACCAGCTTTTCAATATGGTTCTTGGCCAGAGGTGAATGTCCTGTCATCATTCATCTCATCTCTTCGAATATGTCAAATTTAGACTCTAGATGGTTGTCAAAATGACCGTTGAAGGACTATTTATTATTATCTGAGACGGTTGATGTAAAGATATGGTGTTAAGGGAGCTATTTACCATGCAGGAACCGAACTGATCTGATATCACAACCAATTGGGAGAGTTGCCAATACCTCATCGAGACTTCAGACGCACATAAGATGTATTAAAACGCGTAAGGATAATAATATCTCAAGCTTCTCCTATAACGCTTATTTTATCAACTAGGCTCATCAGATGAAATTGAAATCCTTGACCTTGTTTCCTTTCTCCGTCTGATCTACGGAGCAGTAAAGATTCACAAGTGTGGAAACTCGGGGTGATAGAGGCAAAGTATACGACCTGGTATTCGACCTGGTATGTGTTTGATCCAGGTTTGGTCAAAAGATGAAGATATTAATGATTCAAGATATAAGGTCTGTCAAGTTGCCAAGTAAATGTTATTTTTCCTCATCTCTTTTGCGCTTTTCTTTCACCTCTATCTACTTTCTTTTTCTTGTCCAGTTCTGAGAACTTGAACTTTTTACACTCTTTAAACTTAGCTATTGCAATCATTTCATTTCAATATAGGCAGGTCCTTATATACTTGTTTTAGGCAATTTTTATCTTTCAACGACTTTTCAATTTCTATCGTTATCAACTCAGTTCATCATCATGAAGTACGAAACCGCAATTTTCTTCATCACCATTCTAAATTTGGCGTCTGCTGCTCCTGTCGCAGAACCAAAGAACAAATTCAATCTCCCCACAATACCAAAGCGAATGTTAAGAGGTCGTGAAGTTCCTCAAGAACATTCCCACAATCGATTTCTCGACGGTGTCCGTGTTAATCTGAACATCAACAACCCAAACAATATCCAAGATCCAGTCTTTGGTCTATTGGGTAATGCCGCCGCTATTAAAGGAGCTGGATCTATCACCAATCCTGATTGTCTTCATCAAGCTACAGCCGATCAAGCTTTCACCAATGCCAAAGCTGCTAATAATATCACCGGTATGGCGGATGCATTAATGTATGCTGCACTTGAAAGAAACACAGGATCAGTTGGACTCGCATCAGTCATTTGCAATGAAACTGCCGTTAATCCAGAGATTCAAGCAGTTCAACAACATCAAGATCCAGCTTCACCAAATGCTGCCGCTACCAATAAAGCCATTGTTCTATCACTCGCCAAACAACTTGCTTCTATTGGAGCTGATCCTCAAGAAGCTCTTCTTTCTGGTACATTTGCACCTGGAACAATTGGTGATTCAACTGGTGCTGGTAATACTTGTGATACTGAGGATGATTCACCTGGGTGTATCTTTACTCAAAATCTTCTAGTGGATGATGCTACGGCGGATGAAATTACAGCAGCCGTTGCAGGAATCTCAGCAAATTCTACCTCAACAGCTACTACTTCTACCTCTTCGAGTGACTCAAGTTCCGATGCGACAGGTGATGAATGTGCAGCTGCGGTAACAAGCACAATTACAGCTGTATCAGCGATAGCAACAGATTCTTCCACATCTTCTACAACCAAAATCACAGCAACAGGAACAAACGTTCAAGCATTCACCGGTACTCTAGGCGGTACACCACCTCCAGTCATTTCCTCAGCAGGAGATCGTCCATTCTCAATTAATGGTGATACTTTTGTAGGTGAAGGAGCAGCTCTTCAAAGAAGTTGCAGTGTACAACATAATGCGTGTGCGAAGGCGGTTAATAGTGGGGAGTTGGCGGGAGGAGAGGAACAGTGTGAGACGCAAGAGACGGCTTGTAATGCTGCGAGTGGAGCGACGAAGATGTTGAGAAGACAAGTTGGGATGTTGTAGATGGTTTGGGTGGCGAGTGAGGTTTGTGATGAATAGGGGAGAGGAAGAGGGGGAAGTTGTGTTGGTAGATGATGAACTTCATGTTGAGCATGTATAAACGGACGAAGATGAATGGATATACACGAGATGCAATAGGAATAGGAGTGGAACGTAAGGCAATCTGATGATTTATACGGCGTTCAATATTTAACGGTAAACTTAGGGTATAGAAACATAAGATTGACAATATATACCAACCCCCTTCAACAGTAAATCGACACTTTACTCCGTGAGTGAGCCTGAAATCCGTACTATCTCTCTCTATCTCTATCTACCATGAACACCTATAAAGTAATGCCCCCATAAAATAAAAAGTACTACGACATACCCTAATTATAAACCATAATTATATAAATAAACAGATGAAGAAAAGACCTTCTATCAGTCCATCTAAATTTGAGAATTATTCTATTTATTCCACTCCACTCCACTCCACTCCCTCCCTCCCTTCCCCCAACTCCAAAACATCCATCCCTCAACTGACCTTCCTCATTTCAATTTTATTTTTATTCTATTCTATTCTCCTAAGGTCAAATATTACTCACAACTCACAGCATTAAAATTAATACTCACCTCACTATAATTATATTAACTTTATTTTATCGAATACTCAAACGCACATTCATACTCATACTCATACCTAGATCGAGTATCTATCATATTTATATATATATATATATATACACAATAGATAGATAGATATCATTCCAATCTTTACATCTTTATAACATATTTACATAAAAGAGGGGAATATATACATATATACAAAATTATATACATATACATAACATAAACATAATTATATACAGAAGAATATAAAAAGAATTCCGATCATGAGGTAATAACAACAGTAAATCTCACCACTTCACATCACGCCACATCAAACACACCACATACATACACACATACACCGTAAACATCAATATAAACCATTATCCATGTATGCATGTATCTCGAAAATAAAAAAATGGGTATCACCACACACATCCCACTCTTTCAAACCCATTACATCGAAAACGCACCACTTCTATTTCAGCGGTCTGGTCAACATTCCTCTAATCAGCAAAAAACACATTATCTAAACACTCCCACTACTCCTTTCACTTCCCTCCCTTTTCCTTCCTAAACTCTCCACTAATCCAAGATTTAACTCTTTCGCAATTCCACTTCTTCCATTATTTCCCGAATTAGGAACTACGTTCTTATTATGTTCAATGCCGTAACCTGTTCCGGCCCCATCGGCCGTAACCTGTCTTTGAATCGGACCTCCCTGTTCATAGACCGCCGTATTGGCATCCACAGTATCGAAATGAATGGGGACAGTTTCGTCGGCGAGGAAAAGGTACCAGTAGACACCACCACAAAAGACGCCGCCTCCGATGATGTTTCCGAGTAGAGAAGGAATCATCGACTTCCAGATGTAGTAGCTAACAGTGAGTGGTTGCGGTGCTCCGAGGAAGATGGCGAGAGGGATAAAATACACTAAAGTTAAGGCGTTAGTGGCTTAAAACTAATAGGATTGGCGCCAATGACTTGGCAGGGGAATCATGCTTGGCGTATATCTTCAATATGCACGACATGCGATATTGAAGAGATGACGGAATGGAAGACGAGAAGTAAATTGAATACGAACTGTTAGCGACGACGTGATCAGTTCCCAATCCAACGAAACACATCACAGGGAACCACATTGCAACGATCTTAGAGAGCACTTCGCGGGAAGAAACGGCGAGGAAGACGGCCATGCAGACGAGCCAATTACCTGTGCATCATCGTAAGTAAAGGTCTTCTCATCGTAATTTCCGAATGGCAATAAATTGTTATACTGGGAAAGATAAACGTACACATGATTGCCTTGAGGAAAATCTGATGCCATTGTGGCGTAACTGCTTTTCCCTTTGCAAAAGCAAGGGCTTCATCTTTGTATGCTCCAGACTCGAATGTGCCACCATCTGTCGTTGAATATTAGCATACTACAATAATAAGTTCCTGTAAGCTGAGTAAATACTTACAACCTGTAAGAACAGCCATCAAAAACAATGCTCCTGCCAAATTTCCAAAGAAACTGACGACCCATGTCTTCAGCAGATCCAAGAAGCTACAGCGTCGATGCAATAAAGCAACCACACTATACATGCAATAACTTGTAAACAAATCCGCTCCGGTAAGCACAACCATGATCAACCCAACAGGGAAGACCATAGCAGAGATGGTACGAATGAGACCTGGGGCATTCGTCTGAAACCATGGCGCGCTACTCGTGGACAGGGAAATGGCGCATCCAAAAGAAATGAGGCAACCTCCCATGAATGAGTTGATGAACATTTTATCAATCCTCATACGAGCCTTTTTGGCGCCGATGCGCGAGACGAGCTCGGTAGTCTGGTGGTGCGAAACATGTTAGGTGAAGTCTAAGAAGTACGAAATGCATATCAACTTGCCTGTGCGGGAGTAAAGGCGTCCATAGCTCAAAAATGTCACACAAAAATCTGTCGAGATAAAATGCTGAAACTGGAAAACAAAAGAAATCTTTTCAAGGAGAAGCAAAGCATTAAAAGAGCATGGCCAAGACTTTGGAATAACGGCTTGTCGGTCAAGATTGATTTTAAGATAAGACAAGGACCCATATCAAACTTCCTAAAGAGTACAGAGCTAAAAATCCTTAAATGGCACAGTTACATTGGTGTCACAATGATTATGAAGCTTATTCCCACGTATTACCCCAGTAAAGAGCAACTCCATTTGCTGAAAGTCCTGCCGACGGCAAAATACCCTAGTCCTACCTGCGGAGAACCATGTTCATACTCCGTCAATGTCTTCAATTGACATTGAAGACTTGGTGCACCCAATGAAATAGCTCATTTTTGAGCAATGAAACCGGGGAAAACTCGCTAGTGTGAAGGAGGTAAGAATTTGGACAGTAAATAGTGTGGGGGATGACGATTCCAACAGCATAGTGCTTACTGTACTGCTGCGAAAGGCTCAAAGAAAATGGTAAGAATTTAAAAGACAGAAATGTGAAATGGTGCAAAGTGCTCATGCAAAAAGACCCACAGTTTTGTTTCTGTACTCCGTACAAACCATGCATTGACATACTTGGGTATCGATCCATCAACCGGTGGGGCGGGAAAGACATGATCGCTCTCCGATGTTTCCACGCACTCATCCTCATTCCCTTGCCAGCCAAAGTTCCACTATGTTGCCGGATTGGACGCTGTACATATCATCAATCTCGGCTCTCACTCGAAATTTGGAAGTGTCCACTGAAAGTCCTAGAATCGTGCATGATGGCTCACAGTTCAACGGTTCAACTGGCTGCAGTGCTGGAAAAACCCCTGAGTTTTCATTTTCTCGTACGTGGTATTGTGCGGGTTCGAATCTGCCTGTTTATCCGTCCTTGCCATCAACCATGTGGTCGAGAACCGTGGCCTTTCCATATCCAGTAACTGTTTACCTGGCGCGCAGAAAAATGATGCTGGAAATCCCAACGAGACGGATATGACTGTTTTAAAGCCCTTTTTCATCCAATACGACCTTGACATGCAATCCACACTGATGAGTGATCTTGCCACCGCAGTTTAATTTGTTCCAGGGTTGGCGGCGATATTCCGTATAGTGAAGCAAATTTGGAATTAGTTATCTGTCGGACGTCCATTCTGAAAGCGTATCAATTCCGTGATTCTTGAGAGTAACGCGGTGAGGATCGAGTAAAGAGCTTCGTAATTCGTCTTTCTTTCATCTTATTAAAGTGTGCAGGCTTATTTATGCTGACGAATATACTCCGTAAATCCACACATCCGGAGCACAGCACACAGCACACAGCACAAAGATCCCACCAGCTTGAGCCAGGGCTTCTCTCAGGTAAAAGCGCTTTTCGAATAAGTTTTGTAGAGAAGATTGAATTGGAGGAGGATTGATTCGGCAGTTGACAAGGCTCGTGGTGAAACATTCGATATTGTACGGATGGAATGGGATAATGAGGTGGAAAGAATTGAAAGACTCCTAGGAAGTTAAATATCGTTGTGCCCATCGATATCTATGGATCGTCAGTGATAATCTTTGAGGCTTTGTATAGTCCATTGAAGGATATCTGCGAGATTGTCTCATACCTTTATCTTTATAGCCTCATACCTTTCTTCATCCCTTCATACCTTTGAAGTTGCATGCCTTCATACCTTCATACTTTGATAGCTTCTACCTCTTCCTCGTACCTTCATACCTTCACACTTTGATACAATTCAAAAATAAGTAACATCTTAGCTGAGAGAACAAATTTTCTTAGAGTTTGCTTCGATTCTTATGTTTTGGTTTAATGTCTTGTCTTGATTGAAATGAACTTATTCTCATGATCTGATGAGAATTCCGAATCCCGAATGCCGAATGTTGATTGATGTTTTTACTGTTGATGCTCTCAAAATTGGAGAGGGAGAGCTTGGGCCACAGGTTTATGATAACTCACGAACCACATTACATTCCAGCCTCTAATCATCACCATCATATACATCACAAAAAAAGACATGATATAAAAATTCATTCGAGTTGATGAATTCTGTGAGAATATCAATATCCATATAAGATTCCATGTTCAAAGCAATCTCAATATTTATGGCTTACACCTTCTAGCTATGCCTCAGTGGGAAGAAGACATAACTACTGCTCAATGGTGTAGACAGCCGTCTAACAAGAAGAGAATCTGAACATCGGAATTGATTATATATGTTGGAGATGTTTGGAAGAGTCAATTATATGCTTTGACAGCAGCTCAAACATTGAAGGCTTTCAAATCCGAGTGCAGTGGACTGCACAAATCAGGTCCAAAGTAGGCACTTCGAGATGTTCGAAACTACCTCTAAGTATTAGTTGTACTTCAGAAGTAGTGACATTACATACAGAACACATCATGCTACTTCATTTCTTTCGATATGTGATAGAATACTTTTTAAACTTGTTAATGATTTAATAAACATTGGCATAGTCAATTTTCGAGTTTATCTCAAACTTAACCAATATATTAATCACGATCCTTAAATGGCTTCAAGAATGAAAAAGAGAAAGAAGAACGGTTGAAAGTTGATTCCGTTATCATAGAGAGATTGGTTGGGTTACATATAACTTATTGAAGCAAATTGGATCGTTGGGTTGGAGGTCACTCATTCAAGCTGGGTAGTGACGTTGAGTCTGTCCTTCGTCATATTAAGAATGGATCAAGAGATTTGAGTTAGAGAGGCTGGTTTCTATCTTACTATCTATCTTTCATCCACTTTTGACTTCTTCCCTTCAGCTTTTGTGCGTTTCAGAGTATATTCCGCCGGTACTTCACCACCATTATCAAAACCCCACCTTCTTCATGAAAGCTCACGGCGGTATCCGTACCGCCAAGCACCACCCACCTTCCCTATAAGGCATCAAATATAAGCAGCCAAGAACATGTGCCGGAATGATTTGCCGCTTATCAACTATATCTTCAATATCGTGGGGATAATGTTCCTGTCCTGAGTAAGGGTTCTTGAGCCCTCATATGCGCCAAGAATCGGTATCGGAGTTATGGACTCAACTTCCTGCTCTAAGAAGTTTAACACCATGGTGAAGACTGTGGTACCCTCGAGTGTGTGGGTGACATTTGATGTGATAGGATAAAGGAAAGGTATATCTGGGAAAAGTTAATTGTGGTATGAATGGAGCGGATGAGATAGAGAATGCGTGTGAAAGTGATTGGAAATGCTTCACTCAGATAAAGGAAAGATGTATCCGGGAAAGTTAATCATGGTATGGATGAAGTGGATGAGATAGAGAATGTGTGTGACGATGATTGGAAATGCTTCATTCTGATAAAGTTATCAAAGTGAATGCGGATTATTCGCATGATACCGGGTCCGGAGATTAAGATGGAGATGTTTTGATATACCTCGTTGTTACAGTCGACAAAACTTACTTATAAGAGCAACGTATTGCCACCTCATCTTCTCTTCACCAGTCTTCAGAAAGCAATCCGAGAAAACCACAACAGTCAAACTTCATCTCATCATGCTTCAAAGTCTTCTCCTCAGCGTTCTAGCAACAGGGCTTCTCGTTCATGCAACTCCTGTTCCCGCACCAACGGGCGTACCAACCACCTCTACTGCTAATACCGAACTTGCTGCTTTGACTGTTGCTGCGGCTGGACCTCAAGATGGTTATGCTAGAAATTTGTTTCCTACTGTATGTTCTCTTGTTCATTCGGTCATGTCACATCATGTCATCTTATCTTTTCACTCCTCCATTTTGTTCCCCATACCTCCACTTTCCTCCTCTACATCCACTTCAAAAACTGACACTCCCCTCCTCATCTAGTGGATAACCATCTCCGGTAATTGTAACACACGCGAAACAGTCATAGAACGTGACGGTACCGACGTCGTCGTTGACGCATCCTGTACAGCCACATCAGGAAACGTACGTATCTCCGATTTGCTTCCTTCCATTACCCAACTCCCATATCCATTCACCATCACACCCAAATCCCACTAACATTCCATCCCAGTGGGTATCTCCCTACGACGGAGCCGTCTGGACCTCGGCCTCAGACCTCGACATCGACCATCTCGTCCCCCTAAGCAACGCCTGGAAAGCCGGCGCCTCAGCCTGGACAACCGATCAACGCCGAACCTTCGCTAATGATCTCGTCAACCCACAATTATTAGCTGTAACCAATAGAGTTAATGAGAGTAAAGGGGATCGAGGACCCGAAGCTTGGAAGCCAAGTTTGAGTGAGTTTTCTTTTTTACCTCGGGGGGTTGTATATGATATTGATGGTGGATGGTGGATGGTGATTTATAAATTATAAATGCTAATATTGAGATATAGCTTCTTACTGGTGCACATATGCAAAAATGTGGATTAAGGTTAAGTATGTCTATAATCTTACAATTACGAGTGATGAGAAGGCGGCTTTGGTTACTATGATGGATACTTGTTGATTGCGGGTATGTATTTATTTTGTCGGTTAAATGAGGGGGTTTATATGTACATGAGATGGATGGGATGGGATGGGATGGAATAAGATGCGTAGCAAAGGGAGGGACACGATGGTATTGCGATGATAGATGAGATGGAGTTATGGTGTTGAT